CATCAACCAGGAAACATACGCAGAATGAAAAAGTTAGAAATATTGTTTTGTTTAAATCTTGATAACTCCAATTTAATTTGGTTAAATTTATCAAACTCGGTCTCGTTAAAATGGGATTTTTTTTTTAATCGTCCACATTATAAATCCAGAAACAGTTTAACAGTAACACCTAGAGAGCACTCTTCGGACTAATCAACAAATAACTATAACTTTTTTTACACAAAGATAAATAGGAGGAAATTTCCAAAGAGTTAAAAATCCGCGGCATAGCATCGCCTACCTACAGACGAATAGGGATGTTGCGATACTACTGATATAACACAGGTATTAATACTTTTCTTTCGATACTTTATCCATATTGGAAATACCTTTGTTTCGATACTACTACTTTTTCGTTTCGATACTTTACTACTTTTTCGTTTCGATACTTTACTACTTTTGACATTACATACATAAAAAAAGTGTATTGTAGGATCACTTTATGGTATTTGTTACATGTCGGCTATGCCTAGGCCTATAACTTTTTATTAATACTTTTATGCCGATACTCTTTTCGCTACCGGTATCGATACTCCAGTGGTATCACAAACATCCCTACAGACGACCATAATCTATGCTTTGGCAGGTGAAATATCTTCCTGAATTAATTCTAGGCTCTAAATTAGATTTTCAATTGAATTGTGATCATATAACCAACGATGCAACAAAAATGTTACGTTTTGTGTCTATTTTTCACGAGATTTTTCTAATATACCGCACATAAAAACTTTATATTTCTTATTAGTTAGACTGTTTAAATAGAAATTATCCGTTCGTATTTAAACACTTACAATTTATATAACAAAAGCCGCATCTGTTAGGTAAAAATTCGATAAAACTATTAACCAGTCGAAAATTTAGAATTGGGCATAGAGTACAAACTAAAAACATTTAACGATATGTTTAAACGCAACGGGACTAAATACGGGCAGCAAAAAAACAGTACTATCTTTTATCTCACTCTTGACATAATGTTATTCACGCACATGCATTGCAGGATTTATAATGTGGAAGATTAAAAAAAATCCCATTTTAACGAGAACTTTGATACATTCAACTAAATCACATCGGAGTTATTAACATTTAAAAACAACATTTCTAACATTTTCAAACACCCTCTGTATGTTTTCTGGTTGATCGAGTAGGAAATTACTACTCGGAATGAATTATTTTTCCGAGTTTAAAATAAGATAAATCGATTTTTCCGAGTACTAAGTCAGATAAATAGATGTTTTCCGAGTTTTAAATCCGAATAATCGATTTTTCCGAGTTCTAACTCAGAAAATAACGACTTTTCCGAGTTCTAAGATGAAACAATCTACTTTTCCGAGTTTTAAATCGGATTAATCGATTTATCCGAGTTTTAGGCCACAAAAATAAATTTTTCTGAGATTTAAGTCGGAATAAACTATTTTTTTATTTAAAATAATCGTGTTTGGTTGATCGCGAAGTAATTACTACTCGGAATCATCCATTTTTACAAATTTTCAGTAAGATAAATCGATTTTTCCGAGTTTTAAGTCATATAAATAGATTTTTCCGAGTTTTAATACTGAATAATCTATTTTTTTAAGTTTTAAGTCGGAATAATATGTATGTTTCCGAATTCTACGTCTGAATAATCGATTTTTCCGAGTTTTAAGTCTGAATAATAATTCATTTTTCCGAGTTTTAAGTTGAAATTTTCTATTTTTCCGAGTTCTACGTCGGAATAATCTATTTTCTGAATTCTAATACAGAAAAATCGATTTTTCTGAGTCCTAAATCGGAATAATCCATTTTTCTGAGTTATAAGTCGGAAAAATAAAAAAAATATATTTGTTGGCCCCGTACTACGCTTCCGTATGTAACTGCTTTACAGTTCGAACCTTTTCTTACTTGGAAGTAAAATTGCGGAAATGTGTATGGCACGTTTGCACACTAACATTCTTTCAACCACCTGTTGCAATTAACAATCATTCTCTCCCTATAATTCATTCCCGGAGATAATTTTAACCCCGCTTAGCTTGTGCGGGAAAGGAACGGCTTCTAATACTATTTGCCGTGGCGCTGCTGGGTGACTTACAGATGACTGATGGTGCCATTTGACTTAAGGCGAAGAAAACCCGGAAACCCCCGCCCTCCGTCATCGAAACAGATGCCATATCAACAGAAATTAAATTACTGCTAATACAGCAATCCTAGACTTAGATTTATATTATCAACCAACTGACTGAATCGAGCAGGCAACACTTGCGTGTAGTTTTCCGCAATATCTTCCTAAATAGTCCAATTCTCGCAAAGGGTCTAGCACCTCGATGTGTTTAGTCGGCGCCGCGCCGCCACGAAAGAAGAGGAAAGAACCTAATTTTTCTCTCTTCTCAGCGTAACCAGCTCGCGTTCTCGTTCTCAAGAATATTCTGCGCCAGCGCCTTCACTTTTATACAGGGTCAAGTAAAAACAAACTAAAAACTATTAATTATGTAAATTTTATGTCATATATTAAATGGTGTGTTTTCCCTAAATTTGTTCGTGTACCTATTTAGTGACTTCAGACAGTAATTTTACTGGCAGCAAGGAAAATTTCGAACCGTAAAGCAACTCTAACAACTTAGATTCATAGATTCACCAAACAGTTTATCTTTTCTTTTTGATTTTAGGTTATCAGTATAATGCCAACATTGTATATTATATTAATATGTGCATATATACTAATCAGCCAAACTTACGCGCATCAAAAATGCGGAGGTATAACATTCGACAGACGTAAACTCACGGTAGCAGTAATGAAACGTCAACACTCCACGAGAACGACAGGCTGCTTAAACGAAATTAAACACGACTACATCTTCGACGACGAAGCCAACATATGGACCATAGAGAAAAACGAGCCTTGGCTGTATTTGTATGTCATCGAAAATAATAAAACCAAATTGTACTGTACGCAGCTAGTGAAAGATTTCTCAGCTAATTGTCGGACCAAGTACTACTATCGCACCGAAAACGTCGTGGTATTCGACAGTAAATATGCAGTAAAGGAGCAGTTTCCAAAAACGTTAGGTAAGAAATTTTCTAGTTTTCAGAGTTAATGTCTTTTTCGCCACCCTTCCTCTTAAGGGAAGCGAAGTGGACTGTAGATTTTATTGGTGAACTGCTTGTCATTTTTGAACAAATATTTCATGTCAAAAGTCAAATTCATTTGTCAGTGTTAGATGAACATTTATATCTAAAGTAGCGACGTATGTTTTAGGTCCAAACACTGTGGATTATTCGAAGTATTTCCGAACAGGGTGCGATAATCAAGAAAAAATGCAAGCCTATTTTTCAAAATGTCTCTACAATAAAGAATTAAAAGCCAGCCATGCTTTTAAACTGGAAACTATGAATAATGTAACTGCAAATAATATAACTGCAAATAATGTAACTGCAAATAATATAACTGCAAATAATGTAAATGCAGAAATGGCTTTAAAGCCAGTAAACGTGACTACAAATCCGAATGGCAGTGCTGTAAACAAACTGTTTTTGTTGTATTTTATATCATTATTACCGATATTGTTCATTGTATAATTAGAACATTTTGTACATTTCGTTTTATTTAATGTAAACTGACACGATATTGAATGAAAAGCCTATAATTTTAATTATTTCAGTTTTTTTATTACCTAACTCATGCTGGTCACAATCTTTGGACGTCGATGGGACTGACGTTAGGGACATTTAAAAAAAAAATGTCGATCATTGTTTCAACTCTCCGAGAAGCAAGGATATAATTCTAGGGACGCTAAATTGACAAATTCGTAGCACAATAGAAACAATTTCATCAAACTTTAAACAATTTACATAAAAAGATTTGAACCCTTTGTCCCTTAAGCCTGTCCAACTAAAAATATTTGGGTCTTTTACCCCTTAAGTCTTTTCATGTAAAATTATTCCTTGAGCCTGACCCTGTAAAAATAGCAGGACCCTAAATCCTGCCCATGTAAAAATATTGGACATCGTTATCTTTGAAGCATGCTAATGTATAAATATTTGGTCGTCCACTTCTGGGGCCTGCCTATGTAAAAATATTTGGTATTTTTGCCTATTATGCCTACTCATATAATAATATCTGGCCCTTATTTATACCTTAATCCGTGCCCATGTAAAATAGTTGATCCCTTTATCCTTTTAACTTATCCATATAAAAATATTTGGTTCCGTTACCACTTTCACCTTCCATATAAAAATATTTAGGCGTTTTACCCCTCAAGCCTGCACACATAAAACTATTTTAATCCTTAAACCTGTCCATGTAAAAAATATTTAGTGCTTAAGCTCGCCTGTGCGAAAGTACTTTAAATTTTTACCCCCTAAGCCAGCACAGGTAAAAATAATATTTCGGCCTTTTACCTTTTTGATCCTAATATCAAATTCAGATACAAGTATCATTCTGGAGTTCGGTAAAAATCGTGCAATAATTATTGTTACTTTACAATCCTGTATGTTATTCAAGTAAGATACACATTTATTTCAAATTAAAACGATTATTTTCAATTATAATAAATAACCTCTCAAATAAAATCATTTTAAAGCTTTCAATACTTAATTTAACGTTTAAGAATGACAGCGATATAAAAAAGTATCTAATGAAATCAGCACCCGTGCCGTAGTGCATAAAATTGGCTTCATAAGAACAGAAAATTATGAAAATCAATACGTTTCTCGTTTCTCTCAAGTAAAATCAAAACCGCAAGTCGATCGGCGCTTTCTTTCTAGAGTTATCGTATCGATGCACTTACATACGCACGCACCGAAGATCAGGCGGTATTTTTTGCGTTTTCTGATTTAGAATGTTCTTATATGTGGAGAGAAAAGAGTTAAAAAGTGAAGGTAAGAAAATTGTCTCGTCTGCCTTAGTAATTGAGCAACACCACATAATTATTAGAACGACTAAAAGGAAAATAATAATGGCGTAAAATAAAATATAAATATTACTTTACCTTTAGTTATGAATCCTCGGTTGCATATATCACAGATGTAAGGCTTCAATCCCAAATGCCTATTGGTGTGGTCCAACAGAGATTGTTTCGTCTTAAAATTTTGACCGCACGTCGTACATGGAAAAGGTTTGATGTTTGAATGAACTCTTTGATGGACCCTCAAATAGCTCTTACATTGGAAACCCTTTCCGCAAGTCGGACAAGAAAGTTCGTACTGTCCTGAAGAAAAAAATCAATCTAAAGCGAGCTTTACATCTACCAATTTCTTCATGAAATTGACAACTAAATTCATAAATTTCTTTACAATAAAAATGGTTTTACATTTGTGAATACATACATGATGTTTTGTGTCAAATATGTCAGTGACAACTATAACAACACAACAACAAAAATTGTAAATAAGTGAGGTTAAGTATTTAAAGTAATATGACCACTATCTATTTTAGATCAACAAAAAACCAAAGATGATATTGAAAAAAAAAACATCAAATTGGATGAATTGAAGGTAGGGGTGCACAGTATTAGAACTTTGAGTTCAGGTTCATTAGTGATAGTGTCGAAACAAGATGTAGAAGTACTAAAAGAAGCTATAGATTCCCAAGATGAAAAACAACTACATCACTGAATTGAGTAAAATGAGACTGATGAATAATGAAGAAATTGAAAGGGGTATAATGGAGCAGAACAATTTAAAACACGGAATTAAAGTGAAATTCATAAAAAATTCGAGGTTTGGTGCCAAAACTATATTTCTTGAATGCGATTTAGTATCTTTTAATAAAATAATGTCAGAATGAAAAATTTGCATCGGGTGGGAACGCTACAGTGTGTAAGAAGATCTAGATATACCTAGGTGCTACAAATGTCGGGGTTATTATCAGACTTCCGATTCTGATACCGTGGTGTCAACATTGAAATGGCGGTCTCAGAATCGGGAGTCACGTGTGTATGTGTTTTCGTCAAAATATTTACTAAGAAAGGCCATCGAAAAGTTAATTTTGTCTTAATGTGATTAGTTTTTTGATATCAAGAATAGTATGATAGTATTTTTAAATTCAATTAATACAAATTGCCACATGGTGTGAAGAACATTGGCTATGTTAATGTTATTATTGAGCCAACTCGTATTTCTGAAAGTTAGGCAACATTACTAGATCCCATCTTTATTAATTGCAAAGACATTTGTCAAGACAGCGCCACCATCCCCTTTAGACTTGAGTGATCATATGATGCCTCATTGCACACTAAATATATCTATTACTAAAAGAAAATTTAAGAACCTAAATACTGAAAAATTTAAAAGTGATTTATAAGCAATTTACTGGGATGGTATATTCTTCACTGATAATATTAATGACAAGGTTGGCTTCTTAACTGACAATATAACTATGCTTTTCAATGAACATGTACCCTTGGTAAAAATCAGAGTCGGTAAACCACCAGCTCCTTAGCTTACTGATAATTTAAAGTTAATTCTCAAGGAACGGGATAAGGCATGATCTAAATTTAAATGTAACAGAACACCTGAAAATTGGAGGCATTATAGAATGTGTCTTGATAGCCTCACGGTAAGGGCGCACGTCCGGCAAACGTGATGATGTGGATTTAGGGATGGTCTTAATAATTAATAAGGAGATTTGTTTTCAAATTTTCATATTTATTTAAAAATGAAATGATAAATACAAGAATCTGCAAGACAGAATGTTGATCACAAAAGCTGTCAGTTTACAATAAATATTAGCTTCAAAAGCTTATGTTAGCACTAAATAACGTTTTAATCTTTTTCGTTTATTTAGACAAGGCAAGTGGAATTTAAAGTCTAGTATAGTGTACTGCCAAATAAGCATATTACATAATAGTGCAGGGCATAGTGGCGCATTCGTTTGCAAAATTGTTTTAATTCGTATTTTTTTTTTTAAAATGTCCGCAAGGCTTTCCTGATTATAAAAGTGTAAGATAACACTCGATATCTGTTGATGGTATTGTTTAAACAACGAAAAATTAATTAAGCCAGAAAAAATGCATTTTTTGCAATTAATTTTTTTTTTATATTCTTTACGATATTTCGAATAAAAAAAGTCCTTACGCCTATCATCGTATCTTTAACCCTTTAATTGTTATGAATGTTTTAAAATCCGAAATTGACGAAAATTCTAATTTTCTTGAATTAAATAATATACCTTAAAATTTAAAATACTATAATTTTAAATTTTTTACCGGATATTCAAACTATAATAAACAAAATAACCTAAATAAATTTTCATTACCTGAAGACTTAGCAAAACCGTGCAACTGTAAAAAAAATTGTGCAACGAAAGCTTGTTCGTGTCAAAAACTAAACATGACGTGTGTGGCATTATGCGGATGTTTAATTGAATGTTGCCAAAATCAATTTCATGTAAAAACTAGTTAAAGGTACAACTATAATTTTATTTGAAAATTTTCTTAATAAATGAATATTACTATTAAATAGTGGAAAAGAATTAACCATAGAAAAAATTGAATACATATATATTGCCTACTCTGTTTTAAAATAAAAACCAGGTGAGTCAACTATGCTCATCGTAACAGGTACAAATGTCCCTTGAATTACGGAAGGTATGTTTGTCTTATATCTTTTGGAAAAAAGTGAGAAAAAATTATTTTTTAGAAAGCTCTTAGCAATGATTTCTTTTTGTGGATGGAACATTTCTATTAACTTCAATGAATAAAAAAGTTATCGAAAGTATCTAAAAAAGTAAAAAAAATCACATGATACAAAACTATTAATCGGCAAATATAACAAAATGTTATGAAAAATGTTAATAATTTTTTTAAACTTATTACCGCTGAAAAACAGCAAAAAATTGATTCAGCGCGTCATCGGGCTTTCTCTTACCCATCTTATACATTGAGTTGGAAGTGAGATAGAAGTTCTCTCTAAAAGTACACGCGCGTAGGAAGCATATTGTTATAACGTAAAAAAAAACAACAACAAACAAAATTATTTAGGTTATTTTGTTTATTATAGTTTGAATATTCGGTAAAAAATTTAAAATTATAGCATTTTGAATTTTAAGGTATATTATTTAATTCAAGAAAATTTGAATTTTCGTCAATTTCGGATTATAAAACATTCATAACAATTAAAGGGTTAAAGATACGATGATGGGCGTAAGGACTTTTTTTATTCGAAATATCCTAAAGAATATAAAAAAAAATTAATTAATTGCAAAAAAATGCATTTTTTCTGGCTTAATTAATTTTTCGTTGTTTAAACAATAATATCAACAGATATCGAGTGTCATCTTACACTTTTATAATCAGGAGAGCCTTCAGGACATTTAAAAAAACAATTTACGAATTAAAACAATTTTGCAAACGAATGCGCCAGTATGCTCTGGTCTATAACCTTTTCAAGACGGATAACGACTGGAATTACAAAAATTTTTCTTACCAGTCAACTACGAAATGACTGGAGTTAAAAGCTTGGAGGTGTAGTTTAGGACGGGAAACGATTGCAGTTTCATAGTAATGTGGTATTAGTATGACCAACACCGCCCGTATTTAGCGCTCATTTGATGATTTATCATCTGTCTCTCTTTATTCTCAGACGGACGTTCACCCTGGTGCTGGTCAGTATGCCATATTATTTCAGAGGGTGAATATCTTTTGTTTTAAAAATTGGCAAGTGCGTAAATTTTCCTAAATTTTGCCGATAATTCCAATGTCAATGAAATTAGTAAAATTGTGGACCTTCAAGTATTCATTGTACCCTTTCCAAAACATTGTAATAGATGAAAGTTGATTACTTTTCAAGGGACGATTGTTATTTCGGCAATATATCCCTTCAAAACGACATCGGTTTGGAGTAAATTTTGTTGTTATGGTCGATTGTGAGACGGGCTACATCCTTGACTTATTATCTATTCTGGTAAAAATACGGAAATAAAACAAGTTGACGAACATGTTGGAATATCAGGAAATATATTCCTTACGTTGACGGAACTATATCGGGGTAACAGACATCGCTTGTTCAAGGATAACTGGTACACCAGCCCACTTCTTTATGAATTCCTTTACCATAAAAAAAATCAACTGCTGTGGAACGGTAAAAGCTAATAGACGGTTCACACCATCCTTTGAAAAGAAAAAGGAACAGTAGAACATTTTTCCACAGAACGATTGTTAACACTAAAATGGACCGACAAAAGAGATGTCCATATGCTATCATCTATGCATACAAATGAGATGTAGATGACAAAAACTAGTCGAAACAAAGAGGTGGAAAAACCAATGTGCGTAATTGATTACAATAAAAATATGGGGTAATTGATAAAACGGATATGCTCTTGACTACCATGGAAACCGTGCAAGAATATGTTTTTTCACTTACTGGATTATGCCTTATTGAATTCCAACGTAATTTATAAAATGAAATCGGGCGAAAACATTCCATTGTTGGATTTTTAGAAAAAAACTTTTGATGGAAAAAATATCATAAAGTTAAACCAAGAACCTCCACCAGCAACAGACCAGATGATGGACATTCTCCACTAATATTGGTTGAATGGCATTTCCCATCAAGCTTTCCACCTAAGATGGGCACGAAAAAAAGATTCTAAAGCAATGTATTGTTTGTTCCAGACACTGTAAACGAAAAGCAACCACTTTTACGTGTAAAAATTGTGATATAGCTTTATGTGTAGATGTGTGTCTTGAAAGATACCATACAGTGTTAAAATTTTGACTTACCTATCACCTATATTTTAAAAACTAAAAAAATATATCTACATTGACAGAATATATTTTTAGTTTTTTTGCAACTTTACGATAATATAAACGATCGTCTTTGTATTTTACTCATTGGAAGTTTATGTTGTCTATCTTCTTTTGAACTATACTAAATGTCATTTTTAAGACTGTTATGAAAAATGAATAGTTGTCAATAGTGATGTTGAAAAAGTAACTATTTGGTACCCGAGTAACGATCCAAAAACCAAATGATTACATTAATTACTTGTATACTACGGTTCGCGGTGGAAAGAAATATAAACAACCATTAAACCCAACAATTAATATAAGGATAGCCTTGTTACAATTTAACCTATTGGATACCTGTCTGGTGACGCTATTACTTTAGCCGGTTGGCAGGGTCAGAAAGGTTAGACGGAGGTTACTGTATTTCAGGTTCATGTCGTGCATATCCCAAGTACCATAATATGGATTCAATATGATTGCAACAGCCCAGCGTTCCAGCACGCGATTTGCAAGTGCAATAATGTCCAATAATTACCTCTTCTTACTGGTTGTTTTCTTCCAGTTCGTCAATATTCGTATAAGCAATCCATATCTGGTAATAATAATAATAATAATATACTTTATTGTCAGAGAGAATACATGATTCCATGGACAAAGTTTAATACTAATGGTATAATAAAACAAATAGATATCAACGTTCACGTAATTAAAAAATATTAAAATTGATTACAATAATTAAAAAAAAAAATATATATATATATATATATAAACAAATCCACAGAAAAAAATGCCTAATTTTAAAATTCGTCATTATAAAACTCCAACAGATTGTAATATGGTTTTCCTATTAATATATTTTTTATAGTATTCCTAAATAATGATGGAGATATAATTGATTTTAAGGCATCCGGTAGATGATTAAATATTTTAGGACTTTCATAGATTATTGAATTCTTAATTAGAGATGAATGTGGAATCGGAAGTAATAAGTTATTATTTTGTCTAGTGTTGTAATGTCTCGACTGGGTAGGTAGATTTAAAATTTGTTTGTGTATCATACAAACAGTCTCTAGAATAAATAAACTAGTTAAAGTCAATATTTTATACTTGATAAATAAAGGTTTGCAATGATCTCGGTAATCAGATTTGGCTAGGAATCTTATAGCTCTTTTTTGTAAAATAAATACCGAGTTAAGGAGATATTGTGAGCAGTTTCCCCAGAATACAATACCATACCTTAAATGAGTGTCTATTAGTGAAAAGTACACATTTCTTGCTGGCGAACTTCCCAGCTCTTTAGCAATAACCCTAACTGCAAAGCACCCGGGTGCCAGTTTTTTGTTTAAGATTGCAACATGTTCATCAAACTTTAGTTGGTTATCGATGTAAAGGCCTAAAAATCTGGAGCAGGGTGTATTTATAATCAACTGTTCGCCAAGACGAAGTTGATCATATGCAAATTTAAAAGTTAATATGTTTGTTTTGTTTGTGTTAAGACTTAAAAAATTGGAGTCACACCAGTTTTTGATTACGTGTAGGTCATGTGACACAGTATGTTTTAGAGTATCCGTATCCCTTCCATGCCAGAGGAGAGTTGTATCATCAGCGAACAACTTAAAATTTTCCGTGGTGGCGTTTCGGAATCGTGAGTACACTCTTGCTCATAGAAATCCTGGTTCTGCATTTAGCTCTTCTATGGCATCCCGCCGCAACTTGTCCTGTATATGTCAGTGCAAGGTTTATCTGATACACTCCAAGTCTAATATCTAGCAGATAGTCTAAGTCCAAACGAGGAAAGTCACCCAGGTTAGCCGCATCAATATGTATCCACATCGCATTTCCGTTTCTCAACCTGAATTCATCCACACGAGCCATTACAACATTGACTTCATTCGCCTTGACCAGCATTGCATGTGTTATGTCTGCATTGTAGCCTTCCATAGCAATTAATGGGTATTATTTGTTGATAATAGCTCCTGCTATTCGATAGAATTAGCTCAGGTTTTCAATATTGGAAGTATGAATAAGCTGTCCGAATAATTTGAAAATGGATTTGATGTGGCCATTCCTGGCCTCCACGATCCATCAGGTCTTCGTCACAAGCCGTGAAACATTAGCATTCTCATTGGAGAACTGCTGCTGGCCACGTTCAATAACATGGGGTATATATTGGGTAATACCCAGAGCCTCTAACAACGGACCTGGAGGGTTATTCTTTAACCAGTTTTTGAAAGCACTCTGCGCATTTCTCTAGAAACGCGACAAACAACAAGCACAAACGTTTTGGTATTCTCTACTCGCTGTGCTGTTCGTATTTGAAAAACGTAAAGCGCTTTAAAAAAGTTACACATGAGTAGCGTTTTGCTGTTCATACTTCAAGTTTTGACATTTAAGGCTAAAATTTGCGGACGTAGGTAAGTCAAACATTAAAATATGGACCTAAATAATCTGATTTGAATATTAAAATTTACGCTGTTTATTATCTTTCTGATATCTTCTAATAAAGTTTGCTTTTGGGTCCTATCCAGTTTCTTTTAGACTACATCGTCCATATTTAAAGATTATAACAAATTATAATAATGTCAAAATGCCATTCAAATCCTAACCTTAGTTATTCAGACCAATCAGCATTTATAATTATAACAACTTACGAATAAAATGAAAATCACTTATGAATAGCAAAATCGTCTAGCATTAGAGAATACCATAATCGTATACTTATCGTTTTGATGATCGAACTTAGTCCGCTTGGCGCTTTCATTGCTATGCATTTTCGGCTGAATGTTAGAGATAACCCTCTCATCATCTATGTATCCCCCTCCTGAAACCAGTTGCGCATAATGTCGCCGTCATTGTCCAACTCATTGCGCAACATAGCCGCAAAATAGGGACCCTGAATGGCCAATATATAACCATCAGGAGCAACAAGTAAAGCTGGTTTCACAAGGTGTCGTCCTTTATGAATTGAAAAAGTCTGTCTTAAGACGCCAAAGTTGCTGCTCTTTGGAACGTAGGCATAGGTACCATCAATGTCTTTAGGAATATCGAGATTATCATTGTACAAGGTATTTGCGAATTTTTACATGTGGAGCTATGAAATTCAGGTGGTTAATAGCCTGGAACCCAATATTGTTAGGGATAAATCGTTGCATTAAAGATTTGCTGACAGTAGCAATAATTGTACTAACGTGTTGTCGGCTATCATAATGTAATATAGCTTTTGAATTCGTCTAATAGTCCTTGCCTCAACTTGCAGAGAAACGCTAAGAGGTCCTTTTTTTAAACTATTCATTTTTCATAACAGTATTAAAAAATACCCTTGGTATAGTTCAAAAGAAGGTAGAAAACAAATACTATAGAAATACTATAGAAAACAAATACTATCTCTGAAACAATCAGTTATTGGACTTTAGTGCAATGATAAATTTTAATCAGTAAGGTTTCCTCTACACAATATTAAAAATTCAGTCAATTCCCACATAGATCACTTTTCCATAAGGTTTGAGTGGGGTTATTTGGGCTTATCCCCTTATTTTCCGAAACCATCGAATTGGCAGTAATAATTAAAATTAATTAGTGAAAAAACTGTCAAATGTAAACCACACAAAAGATATCATTTCTAGGATAATTATTTTGTATTTCAAATTCTTACCAGTATGTTTGGCTTCATGTTGTGCCAACCCTATCTTCGACCTAAAAGCTTTATCACACGCCCGACACTTGTACGGCTTCTCCCCGGTATGTTTCCTCATATGCTCGGCCAGTTTGTAATTCGTTTTGTACATTTTCCCGCACTCCGTACACATTTTTCCCTGTCCCGAACCTTGCGGTTTTTTATCAGTACTTTTAGCAGTCTCGGTTTGCACACGATTTTCCACTTCCTCAATTCCGTCATCGTCTTCCAATTTTATTTCTTTCCTATTACTCGTTTGGCGTCGATTTTCCTCCATTGTGTCGTCATCTTCCAACTTTATTTCGTTATCTAGTTCACTCTCATCACTTGTCCATTCGTTGTCGGGTTTTAATTTTGGAGGTGGGGTGGTCTTCGCAGGTGATTTGTAAGGCTAAAATGCGTTATAGAGTCAAAGCAATGCGGAAAATTAAAAATATAAAAGATAGTTGGAACTGTATTAAATAATTCTATTTTCAGATATTTATTTTAGTAGGATATCGTTGCGAATGTTTTGTTCAATACATAGAACGCTACTCTCCTTAGAAATATTATCCTTGTAAAACATATCTCAAATGAATACAAGATAACTACGCTATATACCTGCTTACTAGATATTTATCGAATTCTAGTTGTATCTAGGGCATTATGGACGTACGAAATTACATTCCACTTCACTTAATATCAAATTTTAACACGTTATTAATAAAAAGAAGTCTAGCACTAAACAAATAAGATCGCAGAGACCCAATCAATAATAGTAGTTAACAGATAAAGAGTAATTATATTAAAATTACCTGAGGACAACATACGGGAATTAATTGGAAGAAGTAAGGCATAAGGAAAGCAGAGATATGTCTGAAAGAACCAGAAAAAATGCAATCTCTTTATTTAATTAACATACCTCGAACCACTTATCTATGAAGATAAATCTTACTTACCTTTTGGCTAGCGGAACAAGTCTTCCTGTGAGCGGTCAGAATATCCAGACTAATGAAAATTGACTTGCAAGCGACGCACTTATGAAAATGTTCCAAACAGTGTATATCGAACTCCTCCTTATGATCGAAATGATTACCACAGATATTACAAAAAAACGTCTCTCCGTTGCTGTTTAAAGCTAACAAAGTGTCGCTACCGGCGCTATTCAAATCGAACATTTGTTTATCGTCAGTCAAGGAAGTATCATGGGTGATTTCTTCCAGATGTCTGTCAAGCGGTAGGGAGTTCATGCTGTTGCTGTTACTGCTGCTGTCGTCCTGTCTGTAGGTGTCTAGAGTGTCTAAATTCGTTTTGTCGGACACTTGATTTAGAGAGAGCAGTTTGTTGTCTTCGAAATCCAGCCTGCAAATGTTGTGTTCCGCCAGTTTTACTTGGAGATCGAATCTGTGGTTGCTGTGATTGGACGTGTCTTTGAACTGAAATGAAATTTTATGATTATACCTATGTGTTGTACGAACTTGCTTGATTCATTTTATTATTAGGTGCCCATCCTTCAGAACATTGTAAATAACATTTTATTAAACTTTCAATACTAACTGTTCCAATATAATACTTATAAAAGAAATCTTTCAAATCAAACCACAAATAAACATGATATACCCCTATCATACTAGAGAAGGTGGTGAACTTCATACACCCTTCTCAACATTAGCAGTGGGCCAGAACTCTCCCTATATCCAGGAACCCTCTTATATAATCATTGTGTTAGAATTGTAGGCAATATAGAAAACCTCAAAAAATTAAAATTCATGCTATTTTAGTTTTTTTACGGGTAAGGCCTTCTATTCTGTAGTAGACTTTTAGCATGTTGATTTTATAATTTCAAAATTTATTTATACACGGGTAAAGTTTTACAATATATGAAAATTAAGTTATACAAAAAATATATATGTACCTATATACAATATTAGTAGTATTTATGCTGACTCCACAGAATTTTTGTTTCCATTTTCCATTAAGCGGCAAATTGGAGAGAATCTTACATAATTAGTTTTGTGAAAAGGGATGGCAAATATTTATGTTTCTCAAATTACGGGATGGTACTCGAAAAGAAATCATAAACAGTAATTCAGGACATTTGATGAAATTATTAAGGGTCTTATATAAGAACTGTATATCAATCGTATATCTTCGTTTGCCCAATTCTTGAATTTGCATATATTTCAAAAATCGATTTTGCACTCTTTCTAAGGCCGTTATATGGTTTTGATACATTGGACATCAAACAACTGCTGCATATTCAAGAATTGGTCGAACTAGGGTGATATAAATATTTTAAAGTATTCAAGTCAGTAAATTCGTTTGTATGCCTATGAATAAATCCTATCATTTTAAATTCTCTATTTTGAAGATACTCATAATAAAGTCCATCCTACTGTCAACGATCACCCTAAGATCCCGTATACTGTCTACATTTTCTAAAGGAATTCCTGCAATATTTAGATAGAGCTTCAGTTGTTTCAAGACTGGAAAACATCAGGTATTTACACTGGTTGATATTAAGAGATAATTGATTGACCTGACACCAATCATGTAATTTATCGAGATCATTTAGAACTTTAAGAAAATCTTTGAGACTGCTAACAGCAGAGTCTAATGTCGTCTGCAAATAGTAAAAATTCACAATTAACAAATACTTTGGCAATATCATTGATAAATATAATTAAATAACAAAGGACCTAAAAGGCTTCTTTGAGGTACACCAGAGGAAACTTGAATTTGTTTAGACGCATTCCCATTTATCTTTACTACTTGCGACCTATTTGTTAAATATGTCGACAACAAATATGTTTACCTATGTTTAATTATTGTTTTATATATTTTCGTTTTTGTATAATATTTAAAGTATAAAATCTCTATAATTTTAAACATGTGAGAACTGGATAATATAACTGTGTTTTGTATGGATGTGAACGGTGGTACAGTGTAAAAGATGAATATATGAAATTTTGACTAGTCTGATAAGTTTTTTTAAAGATTGTAAAATGCAAAAAGAAAAATACTTTATTGGCGAATAAATTATATTCTATTGGAAAATGTTGGTCGTGTATTTCATATGTTTTTGTGTCAAATAAAAAAAATGTCGCAGCTACTAGTAGAACACCACCAACTTGTTTACAATAGTTTATCTTTTACAATTTTTATGTGACGCATTAGTGTTAACGTAAAAAATGGAATAAACATAGACTGGTTGAGTTTTCAGTGTGTTTTATTAGCTGTTTATGTAACCAGTTACGAAATGCCTTATTTTATGTAACAAGTAAATATTTGCGGGACCAGCAGAGCAAGGTCCCGCAAAATGAACGGGTTACACAAAACGGCATTTCATTTAGTGTTACATACAAGATTTTTTCTAATTTTGACTTGATTATTTATAAAATTGTGTTTGGTTAAAAAATTATTCACTATCATTCTTTTGTAGGTACTTCCAATCAAATATTTCAGAAAATTGTTGTATTTGATTGCCCTACGACGTTTTGTTTTTAATAGTTATAATACAAATAAGGTATATGTGCAGTGTTGTTCTGATTTTTGACATTACCAGCAGGAAATAAAAAAAAAAAAACATTTTTTCCCGTTATCCTTAAAGGAGTACGTCAAAATTTTACCCTCAATATTTCTAAGCAGTTTTCAATAACAGTGTTCAATTATTTAAAAAATAAAATACAATTTGGTTTTATTTTTTGTTTTCTTTTTTGTTAAACATAGGTAATGCCAAATTGTCAAATGTGAAATGTCACTATTCATTGCCTTTTTTCGTTTTTTAGATTTTTGGTTTCTTCGATTTGGATTTTTGGTTTTTTCGATTTGGATTTTTCATTTTTTCGATTTTTTGATTTAAAAACCAATAAAGATACATTTTTATTTATTTTCATTTCGTAACTGGTGACATGTCCAACTTTTCGTAATCAGTTGCATAATGTTCTACTTTATGCAACTGGTTGTATAAAGTAGATCATTTTAACAATTGCTGCGATTACAAAATATGTCACTTTATGTGTCAAAATTAGAAAAAATTATATTATTTCTATCAATATTCCTCCAAAACGCACTCATTGTCCTTTAATGTTCAATTTAAAAACAACCTCTACTCATTCTCCATTTTATGTTACCATACGTCTAGCCAACAATATAAATATGATGCAGAATTTAGACTGGACTATGTCATATCAAGAATATTGGAAAACCATTCTACATTAAGCCAGAGAATATGAAGTGTGTACACACTAGGTAATAAGAAATAAAAGAATTTGTATTTAAAGTGTACAAATTCTTTAATTTCTTAATTCTACATTATTTTGAAATGTTGAGTATATGATCTGATATTGTTTAAGCAAAATTTTGTCGTTTTCATGTTTTTAAAATTTTTCAAAATTTCAGGAAAATCAAACTCTATAAGGGGACAAAGCCTAATAATTTTAAAAACATTTGAATAAAAATGGAGGGATAAGGGGGGTTGAAATATTGAATAAAATGCTATCTCAGAAACGAAAAATGATATTAACTTGCAATTTTTAGCACAAATCAAGCTCTACAGGAGCAAAAGTCTGATTTTAAAAAAATCTGATTAATAATGGGAGGTTTAAAGAGGTTAAAATAAAAAGTGAAATCATAAACGAAAAGTGATATCAACATGAAATTTTTTAATAAAAATCATGCTCTATAGAGAATAAATAAATAAAAATTGGGAGACAAGGGGGTTGAAACAAAAAACGATATCAAATTGAAATATCGTTCCCTTCATACAATTTGTATAAATGGAAGGATATTTTCAGAAGTGGTGTAGCTCACTGCTACACTTTCAATGCAAAAGAAAATACCTTTTAAGCACTGGTATGTCACATTGACAACTGACATTGCACTCTGAGAGTAATAGGAGTAAAATCATATGCATACTCCAATTACGCCTAATTACTCCAATCCACTCTAGAGTGTGAAGCCCGAACTCACCTTATATTTCAGTTGCCTTGGTTGCAAATTTCTTAGGTTACTTGGTAGGTTATAGAATAGTTTTATTGCCAAGTGATTTAGTGGTTGAATTTGTGATAAGCTATACAATAAAGTATTGTCTGCCTTGTTGTATTTTCCTTAATAAACCTAATACAGATGGCATATAGATGACAAAGTAAGAATACTGAATGTCTTAAATAATGGTTTATAATGTTCAATTCGATGTGCCTTAGCCAATAAGCAAATAACCTATTTTTGAATCTTAAAAATTCAATACATGGCTGTGGCATATTAAATGTAGTATTTTAATTCTAAACAGCTGTTATTAATAAGATATTTCGATATTGTTAAAAATAAAGATAATTTATTCTTGCACTAAATTTATATTTTGTGCCATGTCATGTACATGATTAATACATTTTGATGCCTATTAATTTCAGTATGTGTTTTAGACCATGAAAACTTTTTTAAAAAAGTACATTTTTTTCCTTAGTAATAATAATAATAATAATAGTTTATTATTTGCCAATAAAGGATGTACAAAAATACAAAATATAAAAAAACAAAAATACACTATATACACTAATTAGGCAAATAAAAGGTCGAGTGATAGGTCATAAGACCAATTCTACCTCACTCACCTTGAAAAAAATAAATAAGTAAAATAAAGAGTCAAAATACATATACATATCTAGATTAATTCAAAAATACAGTTAAAAGAATAATTAACTAGTGAAAGGAACCTTAATCTATATTAATAAATATTAAAAATCACAAAAAAAAAACTTAAAATTTAAAATGTCTGTTCGCGTAAAAAAATTTGTTTGTATTTATTTTTAAAAACTGTTAATGAAAGACTGAAATTTGGTATATCAAGAAGATGACTGTTCAATGCAATTTGGTAGCTAAGTGATTTTTTGAATATTTGTTTATTATGAGATGGAATGGTAATGGCATTCTTTTTCCTTAAATTACTATGATGGACGTCGGTCCGAAAACTTATCTTTTGATGTAAGTATGAGGGAATTTTGGTCTTAACTAGTTTATAAAATAAACAGAGAGAATGAAGTTTCCGACGATTAAACATGTTCAGCCAATTCGCCTCTTTTAATTTATAAGAAATCCTCTCCCTTCTCCTGATACCATAGATCATCCTTAAACAACTATTTCGTACTTTCTGAATTCGATTCTTATCAATAATAAAAAAGTTTCCTCATGGCACCTACTTAAGTACATTCTGAGTCACTAATTTGTAGTTTTTAATATTACCTATTAAAAAGAAAATAAAATTTTATAAATTAAAAAATATATTTAACACACTGAGTATGGCGTGGCATTTAACAGATGCCTGACTGCTTGTTCTTTTTGAGGCATCAATATGATGCCACACTTGCAACAGTCAGAAAATAAGTAAGGACAGTGTGATTTCATAGTAGGCCTCACTATAATGCTACAAACATAGGAACTCATTCTTAGCCATCTACAATAATAGAAAAATTTAACTGGCCTTGAAAATTCTGTGGGGAGGCACCAACATTAAAAAAAATGAATTATTGGACTAAAACTTTAAAAAATTAGGCTTTACCCGAGTAATAAAAGTGTCAAAATTTTTTCCATATTTTTTCTTTATTTCCGTACTCAATATGTTAATAAAGTCCATTAGGTACTTTTAGGTAGGTATATTTATAAAACCATATATTTTAGAATTTCTAAAATAATTTCTTTGAATGATAGATGAGATACCTGCATTTTTTTGGCAGTTTTGCAGCTCTACAGCACTTATACATGCAATGTTAAGTTTACTAACATTTTTTTAGAAGCAGTAGGTACTTTTATAGAAAAACTTTTTTTTATTAATAATACAACCCCATATGTAGACAACACATCAAATATATATAAAAAACAAATTGCTTACATCATTAAGCATTGGAATTGAAGCTCCTTCAAGTTGCAAATCTTGCTGCAACCGAAACTGGTCAGTAAGCAACTGATGCTGTTGAATCAATGTCAAATTCTCATCAAATTTAGACCCAGAATTCGAATCCACCACAACCGATTCTTGTGTGCTAAAAGTTTGATTGGAAAAATCCGGATTACTTAAACTACTGGTTACAATGCTCTCCAAAGATTGTGAATGAATATCGGGAGCTAAAATTATTTCTTGAGCACTTTGTGACAATGAAGATAGCTCAATATCGGAAACACTTTGATTATTGAGTAGGTGTTGAGGAACCATAATTATTTCATTACCGTTGATAGGAACTAGACATGGTTGTTGACCGTTTTGTATACAATCCGAAAGTTGTTTATATAGTTCTATTAATAATTTTTCTGTACGCACAGAACGTTCCCTAAAATCACTAAATAGTTCTAATTTATATAAACAGGTTTCACATATCATCTTAGGAAGCTCGTCTGTTTCATGTACCTAAAAACAATGATTTTTATTAAAAATTAAGATTAACCACATGCTAAATACAAGGCAGGCTATATTTTCTGTTGGTGCAAAAATTAAGAATCTTACCTGCACAGGAAGACAAGAATCAATTTTTTTGTTTATCTGACGAATTGTCCCTTCATCTTCGAATATATTAATAGCTAAAAACATTTCCGTTTTCGTTGCACAAAGCCTGCACAATTCTTCATATTTGGAATTTTCCAGAGTAGACATTTTTTTACAATAATTTGAAAAATAAACTAAATTCTACTGAAATGTACAAACGCTTCACATTTACAATTTTTTCATTGCGAAAAATTAGATCAAAATTCAATAAATTTAATAAATATTTAACATCAACATCACCTTACATCGTTTACCTCTTCTTCTTTTTATGACAACTGTCACTGTCTATTTGACGTAGGTCATTTCGCTTATGAATGTAAATTTAGCAAGCAGAACCAGAAATAGTGTTTTATTGGTCGTACGACGCAGGTTGGTCCAAAAAAAGCTTCTTCTATTGGTCGATCGTTAACTTGTATACGTTGAATGAATAGTCTAATTTAGGAATCAGTGCTGTCAATATGATAAAAATATTTGTACCGTAAAGTGAAAATAACTAAATGTTTGTTTGAATTCTTGAAACCATGGAAACAATAAATTATTATATTAAGAAAGCAGTACGCTAATTATTCTGCACTTTAATTTTAAAGATTAAAATGGCAACCGCAGTAATTGAAAATATAGATTTTCGAACAGAAGACTTTGATTTGTCAAATCTGAAAGAAGATTCATCAGCGGGTAGCAGTAAAATAAATAAAGTGCCGGATATGAGTCGTATGTCAACTCCAAAGCCTATAATGCATCTAGGCTCATCAACAGAGGTATTTCTAAATTGTTTTAATAATAAATTATACAATTTAATACATTTTATCAAATAAAAGTACAGAACCGGATTTAATATTTTTTATAGTTTCACCGTCAACCCAGCGCCATGCCGCGAACACCGTTTAAGCCCGGTACTGGCTATAGATCTAGCACTGGTTTCAAACCGACTACAAACTTTAGTAAGCCGGGTACTAGTTTCAAACCCGGTACGGGTTTTAGGCCTGCAACTGGCATGGATACAGTCAGCCGACCCATGACTGCGGTTAGAGGTGCTGGTTACACGTCGCACGGAAAACCGTTTGACCCTCTAAATCAAGCCGCGTCTGTACCAACACCGCCACTGGAATTGCAAAAGGACGATTCGTTAGTATTTTAAAATTGCTTTATTTTTTAGTTTATAAGGTGCTGCATGAGCTAATGAAAAGGTGCGATTTCGGAACGCCTCTGCAGAAAAAGTAGTGGGGAGGCGTCAGCTCGGGCCGTCAACTTTCTGAATCTAGAGACAGCGTTGCCACATTTAGTAGATTTCTATTGTATTAGTAAATTTTCAGCTTTTCTTGCTAGTTTAAAGACACTTTTTTTTGTAATTTACGTAATTTCTATAAATTAATAAAAAAAAAAAATGTAAAATGCAATCTGGAAATTTCAAAATAGCCCCTTAAGGACTACCCAGGCATTAAAATAAAGGAGTAGACATGAAGTACCCGCAATACCATGCTACGTGTGATACTTAAATTGAGTGTCAAATCTGTTACATGACAAGTTGGGTGTACGAAATGTTACCCTATAGTTACCCTCGGCCTAGCTCAGCAGGGTCGGTGAAATTCGGCTTAGAATTTGACTAACAAATTAATGGCATTATTTTTATTTAAAAAGACAAGACAATGTTATATTAATGGTTAATGACGACATGTAATTGAATGGTTAATAAATCCAAATTATGCCATTAATTTGCTAGCTGAAAGTAAGGAAGAAATTAAAAGAATTAAATTAAAATATAGTGACTTTAATGTACAGAACGGTTTCTACTTGCTTCTGAATTAATTTAACAGTTTGAAAGGTTTTTACAAAACAAAAACAATTTATGTAGATTGAATTAAATTGAACAGGCTAGAAAGTGACTTTGTGACATAGATGATAAACAAACGAGGCTCAATAGATATAGACATATTAGTAAAAATGCTCAGGCTCTGACGAAAAACTTGGCTCGGCTGGATGGTCGAGGATTTTCCAGCTTTAACTGGGCCGTTGATAAAGAGACGTTACAGATGTCTGGTTGCTCTAATGGCGGTATTCTACAGCTCCACGGCTGTTCTACTGCTTCATCCATTCTATCCTCGTTGTAACCGCTTTATCTCCTTGTTAGTATCTTTATTTCGAGGTATCTATCCTCTTAATTAGCCTTTGTTAAAGAAAAAAAAAACACGGTGGACACTTATATAAAAAAACCTTTTCCATCTCTTAACATGTGTTACACAAAAAGAAAGTACCAAAATAAGTACATTTAATATAAATCAATTATTAACATCAGCGATTGATTAGATTCGTAACAGAATTCAGTTATATCTAGACATAAAAACTAAATATGGCGGCTTTTAATGGCGGGCTAGCTATTAAAAAAACATTTAAATGTTAACAAACTAAAAACAATTCGTAGAACTCACGTAATAATCTACAAACGAGATGTTAAACCTTTAATCACTTATCAAGCAATTATAAATAACCAAATATATCAAATAATTACCTTTAGTTCGGAAACCTTGCTTAAATGGCAAATTTCATCGTAAGACGGCGCAAAAGCGAAACTATTGATTTTAACCTTCTACAAGTGGCCTTGAAATACAAGCTCGTACCAGTGGCGTGCCTGCATGTTTTCCCAGGAGAGTATAATTATTGAATTTCGTTAATATTCTGGAAATAAAACTGAAACGTTATTTATAATATTACAACCACTATGCGATAAAATCAAGGCAACATTTCGTACATAATTTTTAAAAAATTAACGATTATGCACTTACACAATATTTCTATTCATGTAGATTATGTTTTCATCAATAAATTTAACAAAAGATGATTTTTTGAAAGTGTTCTGATTTTTTGAAATCGTCCTGTTTCATTTGGCTCACCTTTTTTTGTTTTTCATTGTATAATAAGTGTCGCACTTTGTATACTTTGCTTTGTAGCCCGGAAGAAAAAGTCAGACAACAAGAATACAAAATTATGCATTTGGTAGAACAGGCTTGCGAGGCGCACAACCAAGGCGATTTTAGACAGGCCTTGACAAAGGCAAAAGAGGCTTCGAATAAGGAAAGGAACCTGATAAGATTGCAAGAACAGTCTGGATTAGGAGATCATCACAATATCGATTTAACTTATGCAGTAAGGGATTCGTTTATATTTCTTTTTCCACGATAATATTCTCCATTAAAAAGTGTCTTAATAATGTTAGGCCGCCATAAAAAAAATCTGATGTGTCCAACACATGACTTTCCTATCTAGTTAACCTATTGCAGCATCTCTAAAAATGTTTAGAGGATAAACTAAATATATACATTTTCCACATACATCTACCTCGAAACATTTTTCTATAGATATTCATTGAAAACGAAAATACTGAAAAATTTTAATTTAGCACTTTTCCTCCAATTTTTCCATTACGGTCCATTTTAGAAAAGTCATTTAAAAACAAAAATTATAGAGATCGATATCGCAAACAACTTTTAGATTAACAATTTTCTTAAAAATCAGAATTTTGCACATTTTGTCAAATTTCTCGAATACGGACCATTTCAGGAAAATTTGACATAGAACAAAAATTATAGATAATAATATTGCAAGTAACTTTTATTTAAAGAATTTTCTTCCCCAAACGTAAATAACGAATATATTCCATAAAATATAAAAATGACCACCAATAAAGTACCCCCCCAAGTGTTCCGACTGTCCAAAATCTAATCAGTTCACCTCAGGTTGAAATAAAACTTAAGTTTAAAATTTAATGTTTTTTCCTTTATCCGTTTTTGAGTTTTCTTCAAAATTCGAAATTTACACATTTTCTCAAATATCTCGAATACGGTCCATTTTAGAGAAATTATTTATAGGATAAAAATTATAGAGAATTACATTACAAACAACTTTTATTTGAACAATTTTTATAAAAAATTATTTTTTTTACATTTTGTCAAATTTCTCGAATACGGACCATTTTAGGAAAATTTTGCATAAAACAAAAATTATAGATAATTATATAAGAAGTAACTTTTATTTGAAGAATTTTCTTCTCCAAACGTAAATAACAGATATATTCCATAAAATATAAAAATGACCACCTATAAAGTACCCCCCCAGATGTTCCGACTCTGCCCAAAATCTAATCAGGTCATTGGACGCTGAAACAAAGCTTAAGTTTAAAATTTGGTGTTTTTATGTGTATCGGTTCATGAGTTATGCGACCTACAGACACACACACACACACACACACAGACACACACGCACACACACACACACACACACACACACACACACACACACACACACACACACACACACACACACACACACACACACACACACACACACACACACACACACACACACACACACACACACACACACACACACACACACACACACACACACACACACACACACACACACACACACACACACACACACACACACACACACACACACACACACACACACACACACACACACACACACACACACACACACACACACACACACACACACACACACACACACACACACACACACACACACACACACACACACACACACACACACACACACACACACACACACACACACACACACACACACACACACACACACACACACACACACACACACACACACACACACACACACACACACACACACACACACACACACACACACACACACACACACACACACACACACACACACACACACACACACACACACACACACACACACACACACACACACACACACACACACACACACACACACACACACACACACACACACACACACACACACACACACACACACACACACACACACACACACACACACACACACACACACACACACACACACACACACACACACACACACACACACACACACACACACACACACACACACACACACACACACACACACACACACACACACACACACACACACACACACACACACACACACACACACACACACACACACACACACACACACACACACACACACACACACACACACACACACACACACACACACACACACACACACACACACACACACACACACACACACACACACACACACACACACACACACACACACACACACACACACACACACACACACACACACACACACACAGACAGACATCATCGCGAAAATAGTCAAAACGGATTCAGGGGACCTCAAAACGTAAAAATCCGTCGAAAACTCGAGGTCGAAAAAAATCATGATTCCTATACTTTCCTTATATCTGTATACAGATAGGAAAGTAAAAATCGGACATTTTCAGTTTTTTGGAATAAATCAAAAACTATGTAATTTTTAATAATTTTTAAAATGGATGCGAAATCATTATCAAATTCTTTAAAATATTCCCTATTTAACCGGACCTTATATCTCCTATATTAAGCGAGATACCATTGTAGAGACTCTAAGTTAGAACACATATAGTGTCAACAAAGGTCGTATACGGCATGTTTGCGCATGCGCAATAACATCCCCTCTCTCCTTTTCTTGCTGACTGAAAAAGTATTGCAGCAAGCTGTAATGCAGCTGCAATTTTGGGGGAAGATGGCTAAAATGAGCGTTTTAAAATCTCTTACTTTGATTTTGTGGAGTTATACGGAGTGGAGACATGGAAAAAACAAGATGCACACTCTAGCCTAGCATATCATTTTTTTTTAATTCAAGGTGGCATTTCTTATATCTGTTTATTATTGAAATAATGTTTGTAGGTGCTGTTCACGCTAGCTAACCAATATGCGGCTAATGAATTATACACAGAAGCCATCAATACGTATCAAATGATAACGAAAAACCGAATGTTCGCAAACGCCTACAGATTGAAGGTGAACATGGGCAATATCTACTTCAAACAGGGCCAATACCAAATGGCGGTTAAAATGTTTCGCATGGCTCTGGATCAAGTGCCTTCGAGTCAGAAAAATCTGAGGTACTTTGATAGTTTACTCGTATTTAGAATTTGTTTCGGATGATTATTTTTTTTATTATCCAGGACTTTTATTTATTCATTTATTCACTCTCTCATTCACGACAGCTATAATAATTGATTTGTTTACTATATATCTTACATTCTCTTCTTTTTAACCCCACAGAAACCTCATCCTCATCCAGGACTTTAATTTCATTATTTTCTTTCTCCTTCTTTCACGACAGCTAATAAATGATTTGTTTATTATTTCTGGCTTTCTCTCCACTCGCACTTATTAGAGGTTATTTGCGAACAGCAAACATCCTCCTCTGATTCCTCATTAGCTTAAGGTAATGGCATCCCATATCATTACACCAAATAAGATAATTATTTGGGTTAAATACATAGAATAGTAATCTTCTATTATTGACCAAAGGTTTTCTATGTCGCAAAAGTTTTGTTAGAACTCTGTCAACTGGTAGATCTTCTGGGTCTACTGTCTTTCTTCTGCTACTAGTTTTATATTATACTCAATGAAATTTATTGACCCATCGAGGTAGAGACGGGAGGTATTTTACTGGACTCTTCTACTCTTTTGTGCCTTCTACTAAGAAGCTAACTAGCGACTTGTAGGTTAGGTTGAAAATGAGTAGGATGATCTCATCGCCTTCCACTGCGACCCAGATGGATCTATTGTAGCCCATGACTAACTTATAGTTTACCGTACAAGCTACACCTTTTGATGAAGGCCATGGTCGAATTGGGCGAGACTTGATTAAAGTCGGGAGGCTCCAGTCGGGTGAATCCGAGATCTGGAACCTGGTTCTTTCCAAAGTGGAGCAGGTACATAAAACGTGCTCTGTAGATTAATTTTCCACGCTGCATAATTGATAGTCCGATGTTTGTTGCAGGATCCTTCTCATATGGTTACCCAGACGACAATGTCATCAGTCCCGTGAAAATATGCGTAATTTTTCCTACTCCATTTTTGGATCTGAACAGAGGGGTTCATAGAAGGGTTGATTGTAAACGCCTTCGAATGAGTTAGCCCTAGGGTATCTCTCCAGTTCGTGAGTGTTGCACTCTCCCTCCATTTTGAGATAATTCTTTTGGCAGTGCTCTTTGCAATACCCAGGAATGGTTCTGATCCTATGAACTCATATTCAGTTTTTTTTTTCAAGTGCATCGGCTTTTTCATTGTCCTCCACACAGAACCCAGATTAAAGTAACTTTGTTCCGGGCACCGAGATATTCAAGGGTATATAAATACCCTTGAATATCCAAACCAGCTTTGAGTCAACTCGATTGGAGCTCAGAGCTGCCTGGCTATTCGAAAAGATCTTATTTTTACTTTTTACGGAGAGAAAATCAATTATCTCGCTCCTAATTCTATTGCAATCATTTCTGCTTGGAAGATCGTGGTCAGAGAGTAGGTTTATTGATATATCAACTCTTGGCTTCTGGCTAAAAATTCCCGCTACTTCTTTTTTAGTTTTGGAGCCGTCCGATTACAGCACATAGTCTGTCTAGGAAAGGGTTTTATCCCGCCTGCTCCATACGTCTCACTCTGGAATGAGGAAGCTGTATGGCTTTTCTATGTGCTGTCGGGGACTAGCGAGTTTGAGACCATGTAGAAGTTGTGGTGGTTATTAATCTTAATCATCACCCCACTTCTTGTCCCATCCCAGTTCTTCGTTGCACCGACTACCCACCTTCAGTCTATAGGACCCCTCTACAGCAAAATGTTGAGAGGGGTTAGGTCCAGCATGGTTCCATGGCTTCCATCGGCGTGGTTGACTTTACTACAGTGATATCGGGGTACACGCAAGCAGCTGAATTCCAGCCAGTTTTGCATTAGCCGTTCTTTGAAGTCCCTTGCCCCACCAGACGATGGAGCCTTACACGTAACCATGGGTTTTACCACCGTTTAGTAAATTCAGTAGATCAGTTGAGGACTGATCCCCCATGCTTTGCCGCATAACCTTTTGAGGGCCCAGAGGGATAATCTGGCTTTGTTGATGGTTTTATTCAATTAGGGATTTCAGGTGAGTTTATCTAGGATAAACCCAAGATATTTCACCTCCTTCGCAAAAGGAATGGTTTTCCCAGCCAAAGTTGTCGAAGCTTGTCGAGCTTTTGTCTCTTGGTACAGGGGACGATAACAGTTTTACGTGGGTTAACAGACATCTGCTCCCTCTCGCGCCATCTGTTAATCGTATTTAAGGCTTGTTGAAGGATGTTGGAGATCACCTCGTCGTAGTTCCTCCTAATTATAATAACCAGATCGTCTGCATAGCATTGGAAATCTACCTCCTCCGAAATCGTCTAGCAGGTTATCCTCCAGAATGGTCCACAGTAGGTGTGAAAGTACGTCGCCTTGTGGAAATCCCCTGGCAGGCCTGAAAGTGTCAGTCTCTCTAGTAATGAAATGATTTTCCGGTTTGCCAGTATATGCTTTTGATCCAATTACAGGACTAACTGGAGAGTATAGTTTTCTACCCGAGAAGAGAATTGCCTTTTTCCCTCCCAATGTTCTATTTTTTCTTCATTCTCCTTTGCTTTCTGGTGTTCACTTGTAAAGAGGAAGAATTGTACGCTTTATATCTTTTCTAGAATACGAATAATGCACAACATTGCCACGGTATTCATCAGAATGGGACAATGGGAGGAAGCAATAGGCAGTTTGGAGTATATAATGAGCGAACAGGCCTGTCATAAAGCCGGATTGCATTTGATCCTTTGCTGTAGAGCTCTAGAAGATAAAGAAAAAATGAGAACGGCTTTTGCTCTATTATTGTCAGTACCGTTAAACATCGAAGACGAAGAAAAATATAATTTCGAACAGGTTGTAACTATTCTTAATTTTAAATACGGCTTCTATCTAAACAGTTCTTTTTAGGATTCCCCCGAAGACACTCTAATAGCACTGGCGATTCAAGATGACGATCTTCATAAGTACGAAACTGCGAAACGCAAAGAAGCGGAATATTGCATTCTTACAGCTGCTAGACTGATTGCTCCTTACATAGAGGAGACTTTCGGAGAAGGTAGTCCGTTTTTTAAAAAAAATATTACTATATATTTCTGTCAATATGTATCTAAAATAATAAAACATTAAATGTGCAGGTTATTCGGAAAGGTTAATGACTCTTTCAAGGTCGTTACTTTTATTGTAACTTTTAATACCAATTTTTATTTTTGTTTATTTTTATTTTATAAAAGATGTAAGGGCATCAGATTACTTTGATAATATGCCCATCGAGTTCTCGTGTTAATCGAGTTCTTCAGTTAAGAGACGTTGAAGAAGGCTCTAGACACTTAAAGGAAAGACGTAGGACATCTTCGGTTGGAGGTGACGTTAAAGAAGCCTCTGGAGACGAAGAGCTGAAGGACCATCTGCTTCGTGGCTCTGGAGACTTGAAGACGAAGAAGATAAGCTGAAGGTGAGACGTAGGACCATCTTTGGTTGTAGGAGACGTTGAAGAAGCCTCTGGAGACTCGAAGACGAAGAGCTGAAGGACCATCATCTTCATAAGCTTCTTCAACGTCTCTTAATCGAAAAATTTGATGAACACGAGAACTGTGGTTACCAAAGTGATCTGATGCACTTACAACTAATCTACTTATAGGGTACGATTGGTGTGTAACGGCGATAAAAAGTTCCGAATACGCTAGATTGGCTTCGGATTTGGAAATCAATAAGGCCGTAATGTTCCTGAAACAAAAACAGTTACCAGAAGCCATCGAGACACTGAAAGCTTTCGAAAAGGATTCCGTGATAGCCATAAACGCGGCCGTCAACTTGAGCTTCATCTATTACCTGGTAAGTTTTCGATAACGGGTCACAAAATCTTTTGATAAAGCATTTTTTTAGCAAGGCGATTACGATAACGCCGTAAGGTACGCGGAAGTCGTCGAAAAACAAAACGCCAAAAGTGCCGAGGGATACGTCAATTATGGAGCTTGTTTGATGGCCAAAGGGGATATCAGCAGCGCCATTACTTGTTTCCAAAAGGCTCTTGAATATGATCACACGTTTTTTGAGGCCATTTTCAATCTAGGTAAGCACTTCATGATATCTGCTATTTTAAGCGGTTTTGTCATATCATCCTTAAGATACCTTATAAAATTACTTATAACTTGAACCTGCGCAATTGAGACTTAAAATTTGACGTTTACGGCGTCCCGTACAAGAAAACTTAACACTGGCGAAGGAATAAAGGATCTAAGAATTTATTCTAGTACGAGATGGGCTTGGCGTTCTTATCTATACGATGTTGCAAGGGTTTAAAGCCACCCTTGCAACAACTGATAGAGCTGGGAGGTTGAGGAGCATGTATGTGTGCCGGTGAGAGTCGGAATCTGATGACTTCAAATCTACAAATTCGACTGTCGTAGCTATGTGTTTCGGTGCTCCAATTGGTAGAGGCACTAATTTTTTCTTTTCTTTATTTCTCAGCTCTTTCGATTTTTCTTTGGTTTGTTTTCACTTGTATGAAGATACATGTCTCAATTTCGATGGGAAAATTGGGGATATTTTCACATTTTTAAAAATAGCACATAAAAATTTGTTATATATAGGTTTATGTTTGAAACGTCAAGGCCACTACATGGAAGCTCTGTCGTGTTTTCAACGATTTTCCGGTTCGCTAGCCCTGCTACCGGCCGTCGTGTACCAAGTAGCGAATTTGCTGGAACTGATCGGAGACAACGAAGCCGCAGCTGACACCTACCAGCAACTACTCGGTTTAGTGCCGACAGACGCGAAGGCTCTGTTAAAATTGGGGGAACTGTACGACCACGAAGGGGACAAACAGCAAGCGCATCATTATCACAGCGATGTAAGCTTGTTTTTTTTAATACACTATCTTATTTTCATTTCATAAAACAGGATAGTCTACTTCTACCTGATAAATTACCTAGCCATAAGATCTTGTTTGACATTTTATTTATTATCTATAAATGCGCATTTAATGACTTCTTCTTCTTCGATTGCACTTCTTCTATCTCACTTTGTCTATCTGGTATTCTCTCCACATGTGTTAACTGAGAGCTCTACTGTTTTTCTCTGCCACCATATGCTCCGTGAAGTTTATAGACTTGTCATCTATTTTACTGGACTCTAATCTAGGGGCTTTTATTAAGAAGCTAAAGGGACTTAGCTGGGAAGTGTAGTCTTCTAGTCGAGAAGACGATAGTTTTTCTGGCTACTCTTATTTTGCCACATTCTCCAATCCCCTATAATTTTGCCCAAGTATTTTTTCCCTCTAATTTCTGTTTTCTTTTCATTCATTTAACGATTGTGGCAGAGATTTTCTCATCTATAATTCAAATGACAGTATACTGCCTCATGTTGGATATTTCTCGCAATTTTATTCATCATCAAACTAGATAGTCTACTCCTACTTGATGATGACCCCAAATCTTATTATCTATTATTTTAAACTGTGCTTGGGTTTTAGTCTTTTGTCGCCCAAATTTAGATTGTTTTGGTGATTCCGGCATATATAAATGTTTATTTTTCGTCATTTTTCCAGTCTTACAGATATTATCCGGCGGATCTGTCTGTGATCGATTGGTTGGGTTCGTATTACATCGAACTTCAAGTCGTCGAGAAGGCGCTAACGTATTTCGAAAAAGCCGCCATTATGCAACCAAACGAACCCAAATGGAACATGATGGTAGCCGGGTGCCATCGGAGGAGCGGTAATATGCATAAAGCTTTAACTCTGTACCAAGAAATTCACAGGTAGTAACTTAAAAAATATATTGTTGGATCACTATGTGTACACTGTGACAGATATAGCTGAAGCCGCCAAGGTTATATTCGCGGTTAATATAAGAGCGGATCTCAGTTCGTTAATGTTTCTCGAAGTGTAGTTCAAAAAATCGAGTTCTATGTCGAAATAATCTATTTTTCCGAGTTCTAAGTAAGAAAAATCGATTTTTCCGAGTTGTAAGTTGAAATATTCTAATTTTCTGAGTTATATGTCTGAAAAATCCATTTTCCAAGTCCCAAGTCGGTATTATCTATTTTTCAGAGTTCCAATCCCGAAAAATCGATTTTTTCCGATTTGTAAGTCAGAAAAATCGTTTTTTTCTGAATTCTAAGTCGAAATAATCTGTTTTTCCGAGTTCTAAGTCAGAATAATGTTTTTCCGAGTTCTAAGCCAGAAAAATCGATTTTTTCCGATTTGTAAGTCGGAATAATCTATTTTTCCAAGATCCAAGTCGATATAACCTATTCTTCAGAGTTCTAAATGGAAATGATCTATTTTTCTGAGTTCCAAGTCGGTTTAATCCATTTTTCTGAGTTTTAAGCCAGAAAAATCGGTTTTTCTGAATTCTAAGTAAAAAAAATCGATTTTTCCGGGTTGTAAGTCAGAAACATCGTTTTTTTCTGAATTCTAAGTAAAAAAAATCGATTTTTCCGGGTTGTAAGTCAGAAACATCGTTTTTTTCTGAATTCTAAGTCGGAATAATATGTTTTTCCGAGTTTTAAGTCAGAATAATGTTTTTCCGAGTTCTAAGCCAGAAAAATCGATTTTTTCCGATTTGTAAGTCGGAATAATCTATTTTTCCAAGATCCAAGTCGGTATAACCTATTCTTCAGAGTTCTAAATGGAAATGATCTATTTTTCTGAGTTCCAAGTCGGTTTAATCCATTTTTCTGAGTTTTATGCCAGAAAAATCGGTTTTTCTAAATTCTAAGTAAAAAAAATCGATTTTTCCGGGTTGTAAGTCAGAAACATCGTTTTTTTCTGAATTCTAAGTCGGAATAATATATTTTTCCGAGTTTTAAGTCAGAATAATGTTTTTCCGAGTTCTAAGCCAGAAAAATCGATTTTTTCAGAGTTGTAAGTCGAAATAGTCTATTTTTCTGAGTTGTAAGTCAGAAAAATCGATTTCTCCGAGTTGTAATTCGGAATAGTATATTTTTCTGAGTCGTAAGTAAGTAAAATCGATTTTTCCGAGTTCCAAGTAGGTATAATCTAATTTTCTGAGTTTTTCATCGGAATAACCTATTTTTTGGAATTGTAAGTCAGAAAAATCGATTTTTCCGAGTTCCAAGTCGGTATAATCTATTTTTCCGAGTTCTAAATTGGAGTAATCTATTTTCCGAGTTGTAAGTAAAAAAAATCTATTTTTCCGAGTTCCAAGTAGGTATAATCTATTTTTCTGAGATGTAAGTCAGAAACATCGACTTTTCCGAGTTCCAAAAGTCGTTTTAATTAATTTTTCCGAGTTTTAAGCCAGAAAAAACCGATTATTATGAATTCTAAGTGGGAATAATCGATATTTGAGTCAGAAAAACCGAGTACTAAGTCGGTATAATCTATTTTTTCAAATTCTAAGTAAGAAAAATAGATTTTTTTCGAGTTTTAGGTCGAAATAATCTATTTTTCCGAGTTGTAAGTCAGAAAAATCGATTTTTTCGGGTCCTATAGACAGTTTCTCCGTCTCTAAGTTGCGGCTTTAGCTATTCCTATTGACATGTACTTGCATGAAAGTGTTTTTAACGGAATTGTTAGGTTTTATATATTAGGACTGAGTTCTGCCCCACCCTGTATGGTTTTTAACGACTTTTATCCCTTTTTCATTGTTTGTAGGCAATTTCCAGAAAATTCGGAATGTCTAAGATTCCTGGTTCGTTTATGCGGTGATTTGGGCATGCGAGAAGCGCAAGATTACCTTTTGGAACTAAAGAAATTGGAAAAATCCAAAGAGGTTAGAGAACGGGTCAATAGCAGCAGACCAGGTACATATTAGACGGACATAAATTCATTTTTAAGCGAAACGTTCTAGTAACGTCTTGGGACTAAAGAAAATTAATCAATTTCGACGTTTTTACATCGCAGCAGCCAACATTCACGTTAAAATATCAATATCAAAACTTAAAACGTCAAAATTATTGATTTTAATATTTGACGTTTAAGGAGAGATTTTAACATTAACAGTTTTACATTTTAGCGTGGGATTTAGACATTTGATATTTTGAAAATCGGTTTTGACATATTGATATAATTTTCGTCTTTTTTAGGTTCGAGACGGACCAGTAGCGGGTTGTCATCCAGGGCGGGGTCAGGATTTAGTCCGGTACCGGAAAACGCCGCTCTCAGAACCCCACCGCTGTCCGGTAATAAAAATATGCGCTCCTCCAGGCTCATACAATCCCACAACAGCGTCGGAAGTACAGACTCTGGATTCGCACAGCCGACAATCGGTAATAAAACAATGTTATCGTTAGTAGAGTTTAGTATTATTTTTCCCCAGATCTGGGGAAATTTGTAAAGTAGATCTGGCAAAACCGCACCGCATAAATCAATGATGGTACGCCAGTTGACTTTGACAGATGCTTTCGTAGCTGTTAAGAGATATGGCCTTTACGTGTAGGATAGTCGCCATTTTGGCAAGGTTAGCTTAATTGCAACGTTGCCATTAATGTCGAGTTTCTTAGGAATTATTGAGCATACTTAACATCGATTTATTTAGTGCAGTGTTGCCAGATATACTCTACAAATTTCACCAGATCTGGGGAAAAATAATGAAAGTACTAGTGTCCCTCCCATATTCTATTAAATTTTGTATTTGAACAAAAACCGCGAAATTGAGTTTAGAATACTATGAAACAATCTGTAATACTTTCATTGATTTTTCCCCAGATCTAGGGAAATTCGTAAAGTGGATCTGGCAACACCACACCGCATGAATGATGGATGGTACATTAGTTGACTTTGACAGATAGTTAGTTGGCAACATGGCAAGGATAGGTTAATTACAATGCCATTAATATCTTTTCTTGGAAATTTTAAGGCATTTTTACCATCGTTTCATGCGGTTCGGTGTTCCCAGATATACTCTACAAATTTCACCAGATCTGGGGAAAAAATAATGAAAGTGCTACAGTGTCCCATATCTATTAAATTTTGTATTTGAATTAAAATCGCGAAATTGATTTTTCCCCAGGTCTGGGGAAATACGTAAAGTGGATCTTGCAACACCGCACGGCATGAATCAATGATGGTACGTGACAGATGGCTTTCGTGGCTGTTAAGAGACGTGGACTTCACGTGAATGATGGTCGCCATATCTTGTAATTAGCAGCAGTTAGGTTAATTTTTGACGCTGTCAATAATGTCGTTTCTTGGGCATATTTACCATCGATTCAAGCGGTGCAAGGTTGCCAAATCTACAAGTTTCCCCATATTTGGGGATAAATCGAAATTTCTACCGAAAGTTCTACAGAGCTTATTAAATTTTGTATTTGAATTAAAACGAAATTGACGATAACATTTTTAATTTCTGCCAATTAATTGGCTCCTTCGTTCTCCTGATTTAACTCATATTGATTTTTTTAAACTAACGCGTTTTATAACTACAGATGCAAGTTATTCGGACCCACTGGGACCACAACCGGTTAGACCCAGGACCGGAGCAGGCAAGCCTCTTGATTTTGATGATTTTGGTAATGAAGAATTGGGCGATGATCTCTTACCTGAATAAATCATCGTTTACAATTAGCACGTTTGAATATCATATTGTATTGGTATGATTGTGATAATTTTTAGTATTTGTTAAATATTATAAATATAATTAGTAAAAATACGTTTTTCATTTTTTCTTTGTGTAGGATTAGAATAAAAAACGATTTCTTTTTAATACTTTAATTTGAAACATTTAATTTTCATAATTCGATATATATGTATATTACTGTAACGCTGGCAAACATTTTTTATTTTTACAGGAAATAACTGAAATAATTATTTAATAATAAGAGCTTAATTTTTTTTATATATAATATAAATTTTTAGTAACAATTTATTCTATCATTGATTTAATTTTAAAATAAACGTGCCAATTTTTTATAACACAATCTTACCCTAAATGATATGTTATTATTTTTTAATTTCAAATATTTAACACATTTTTTTTAATTTCAAAACAACGTTTACAGTTAAAAAGAAAGCACCTTTAAAATAATATACAGATAAAAACTAAATAACATTTTGATCACAGAACATTTAATAAATTACACCGTTCAATACGTAATAGTTAATAAGTCAGAAAAAAAGTTACGCCATAAATATTTTAATCCATCCTTAAAAGACAATAGACCATGATAGTGTAACGTCTTTTTTTTCAACGCAAGATAACCATAGTTAAGGTCGGACAGACAAGGTTTCATTCATTCCTTTAACTCCAAACGACCCTTTTAGTTTTCGGTTTATTCCGCTTAAATGTCATTTAAAAGCACCCTAAAAAACTCCAGTCCTGTCTCACTCCAGCCCCTGACAATCCCAAACGAACCTCATGACAACGGTTGTGTCAATGCTGTCATAGGTGTCCTCTTTAAAGTGTTATTCGATGGATTGCTACAGGATTTAGTGGCGACTTTGTGCTTTTTCCTGCCTTTTGACTTGGTTTTCCTATGCCTCCCAATTTTGTGTGAAGCTCCAAAGCTTTTGCTGGTAGTTCTTGGCTACTAAGAAAGCAATATTTGTTCCTGTGCCACTGTAACTACAGTGGAGTAACCGAATACTTGCTCTATCGAGTGCGAAAAAGCACACATACCCCTTTTCAGCTGATGAGTTAGGCGACGAGGTTAGCAAATCAGCCGAGTTTAGTGATTTTCCTTCATCGGGAACAGTACAGTATTTGTCATACATACTAAACAGCTTTCAGCTAAAATTTACTCAAGAATAACCAGAGTATTGCCAAGTTTGTTAACTATTTATTCCGACATCACAGAGATCACATCCTATTAAACGTGTTAGTTTTAGTATAAAACATCGGATTATTGGGTATATTTATATTCGTTGGCTAATTGAATTTAGCCGAAGCCTTTCGAATAGTATGTTATAGTTTGGCGCCCAACGTGGGTTTGCTGCCAAAGGTAAAAAATTGGTACTTTAAAGTGAATAGAGTAAAAAAGAGTGCATAGACAGATTCAATACCTGCCCCTCGACCTATCTCAAAGTACTGTATGAGTAAAAGTATTGATATCGAAAGAAAATCTGCGATACCAAAAGTTACCGATACTTTCATTGATATCCCATATAGAACCAAACCAGAAATATTCCTGAAGTATTTGATTACGACAATATGACAGTGACATCATTGTCATAGTAACTTGTTTTGTTTTTTATCAACTTTGTTTTGACGTCACAACTATCACGATCTATTAAGGATGTTGTCATATAGAAAAAGACAGATATTTTAAACATACCTTCTAAATGTTAATGCTAAAATATAAATAAAACTAAACAGATAATTATGCGATAAAATAACTCACACCCAGTCCCACAGAAATCTATGATGTATAGCTGTTTAAATATTTAAATACTTTTGTCGATTTGAAATTATAAATACTGAATACAAAAATATATCTGAACGTGTCAATTCGATCATTCCGTTTAAACTTAGAAATTTTTCGCTAAACCAAATATTCAATTTTTACCAAAAACGGAATAATCCAATAGACCGTAGTATGTGTAGAGTACCATTCGATTTCAAAACCATGCATACCACTTACTTTTTACGAAGACTAGACTCGCTTGGCAGATCCCAAATGTTAGAAACAAAATTTTCTATGAAACAGAACTCAAAAAAAGTTCCAAAATGTTCCATGAATCTAACCAACATCAATTCGTTTCTAATCTTTGAGAAAAGGTTGCGTAACTCCGTTTAAGGATCACAATATCTACCTAAAACCATGGTTCTTAATAACGGTCCCACTTCCTTTGGATCTTGTAAAACTTCCAATAACATTTTTTCTACGTTTCTCATTATCGATACTTTTTGGTGATCTTGCAACGGGTATTCCAAATTCGTCGGTCCGCCCTAAAAGTTGTACGATCTTTTACAAAAATATCTGTCGATGAACAATTTAACTTCAATTACTTTATACCAAAAATTAACTGTAACAGTCGGTCCGCCTCGCATCAAGGACTCCACATGATGCCACCAGTATATAGGAATATATAGCACGTCGCCTGGACCAACGACGGTTTCACAGCCTTTTAGATTTTTAAATTTAGGATATTTGGTATAATCAGGTCGTTCGAAATCAACCTAAAACATTTAAACACTAAAATACGATTGTCTTTCTTCAAAAATTTGTTAACAAAAACGTAATAGGAAGCAAGAGACCCATGGAATGAAGGTTTATGACTCAATGATGAAGAACTATTAGACCAATTTTATTTACAAACATTGTTATCCAACATAATTGCTAAATTATTATGCAAAAGTCCAGAAGATACATAGTTTGTGGTCATAATTCGGAATTTAATTAACGCCCATAAGTCACATAAACGTAACCGATATTAGTGATTCTCTCTCCAAGTCCGAATTGTGAAGCGTTATCAATTTCCTGCAAACAGAGGGGAATAGTGCAGCAGATCTTCATTAAAGAATGTGCAGAATGTACGGAGAAAACTTCATGATTGATGATGTTGTGCATGAATGGTGTGGGCGCAAGTCTGTTGTTACAGACGACCTTATTCAATGAGTTAACGAAGCGGTTAGAGCAAACCGTAGGGTTAAGGTCTTTTGAATTTCCGGAAGTGTCAAGATACTCTATCATTTGTTGATACTGCAGAATGTTGCAAGTCAAAATAGCTACTTTTCAGGAGAGCAAAAACAATATATAATTTCACATACGACCTCTCAATTAAATCACATTGAACGCTTGCTATTGGTTCGTGACATATGAGATTTTATAGGAATAAGGGCCGGTCAAGTTGAATTACGAATTTCCATTAATCTAAAAGTGCATTTTTGATATACGACTAATTGACGGACAACCAAAAAACATGCATAATGGCTTTAGCTTTGACGTTGCTTGACCGTTAGGACGATAAAGTAGAAGATTTTTTGAAATCAATTGTGATCGGAGATGAGATCTGGATTCGTAACGAGACACCCGAAATAAAACGATAATCACAACAATGGATGCACACAAATTCACCAAACAAACCTCTAACAACAGAAAGGTTATAGGTGTCGTGTTTTAGGATCAAAAACATGTGTTGCTTGTGGAGTTTATGCAGCCAAGGACCACAATCAATGTAAAACAGTTAATTGTGACTCTGTAAAGTTTGCGTGGAACCATTCAAAACAAAAGAAGATGCGTCCCGATTTCTGGAATTGTTTTGATCAACTACAACACCTGTCCTCACAGTGCTGGTGCAACCTAACAGCTCCTTGAGCTTTTTCGCTTTTTAGTAATGCTAATATGCTTATTAAAAAAATATTAACAAGTATAGGATTCGAACCTAGGCCTCCTCTCGGAGATCACTTCTAATCGCCCAGTGCGTTTTTTTATACACTGCTCCTTTCGGATGTCGGAACTTGCGTTAGACGCCTTAGACCATTCGACCAACCTGGCTGTTACAATTTTAGTAGTTATAAAGTACTACCTTCTCACCAAAATTTTATACGCTTTAGAGCCATTTAGCATTGCCACTGCATGTATTCTTATTTAACGTTAATATATATGTAATTTCTATCACTCCCGTTTTTACAATTTGAATCGGACCAATAGCAACGAGGATATAGACTACGTCACGTCTCCTTAACAACACCGTTTGTTCCATGTAAATCAGACCAATAATAGCACAGATATAGGCTTAGGCCCTTTTAGCTTTGCTATTGCGCATGATTTTTTTCTTCATCGTTATTCTATACCACGTCCCCCTCACAGTACCGTTTTTCCCGTTTGAATCTGACCTATAACAGCCGAGATATGGGCTTAGGTCCTTCTGGCATTACCATTGCGCATGATTTTTCTCTTCAACGTTAATTTATACTACGTTTTCTTTACAACATCATTTTTCCGGTTTGAATCGGCCCAATACGCTAGTTCGGTGTGATGTAATTTAACAAAAACATCAATAAATTTGACATATATGTTTTTACTATTTTTAGTTTATTTCTAAATATTGTTCACAGGTTATAAAAAATAGTTTAAATGTATGTAATTGGTAACTAATCGATTGTATATTTGATGCATGTTATCTACTTACTTTAGGAATATATTTATAAAAGTGAAAAAACGATATAATTTAGGTAAACAAAACGCACTCAAAAAATCTACTGTTACTTTAATTGTCAGTGGAACCATAATTACATCATTACTGAACTAGCCTATAATAGCTAAGATATAGACTTAGATCTTTTTGGCATTGCAACTGCACATGATTTTTCTCTTCAGCGTTAATCTATACTCGTTTATGTAAACGATGGCTGCCATCTTCTTCGTCTCCAGAGGCTTCACATCTCTCACTGGGGCCTCCTCCAATTCTTCGAGTCTCCGGAGGCTTCTTCATTGTTAGGTTAGATGACTTCTCGCAAAATGACGCTTAAGTTACATGGTTTAGCATTCGTTCACGTGAACGGCATGTCTCGTAGGTTAGTCTGCACATGCCTGTGCTCGTAGATACTTTGGTCATCTACTTAATGCTGAGTGATTTCTATATTTTCTCTGAACTGAAGACATATCTAGGACACCAGTGGATCAAAACTAATGAAGAGATTCAAAACTTGTTTAAATTCATTGGTGGCAACATTTTGTGAGGAGGCTATTTGGAAAATGTGTCCATAGATAAGACAAATGCCTCTATAATTATGGTGATTATGTCAAAAAGTAGCCAAAAGTGAATGTAACATTTAACTAGAATGAAGATATATAATTGTTGGCATTCTTATTATACTCTTCACATTTTAACAACCCCCATTTTCATTTTGATGTTTTTCAGAATCAATAGGTTTCTTCCCCTTATAAAACTTGATTTTTCCTAAATATTTTAAGTTAATATTGTTTTTTATTTCCAAGTTAGCTTCATCTCCTTATAGAGCTTGATTTTTCCAAAAATGTCAAATTGATATCATTTTTCGTTTATGATTTATATATATTTTTCCACCCCCCTAAATCCTTTCATTTTTATTCAGATTTTTTTCAAAATCAATAGGCTTCATCGTCTTATAGGCCTTATTTTGTTGCTAAATATTTTAAGCTAATATCATTTTTAGTTTTTGAGTTAGGATTTTTCTTAATATTTCAACCCCCTTTGACCCCGTCCCCATTTTTATTCAGATTTTTTCAAAATCAGTAGGCTTTGTCCCCTTATAGAGCTTAATTTTTCCTAAAAATTTCAAGTTTATATAATTTTTTCGTTTTTGGCTTATCGTGCGGACAAAAAACGTGAGATCAGACGGACATTTTAAAAAGTAGTTCAAAATTTGATGAGACGGAATTTGGTACAAAAATTTTTATATTTGAAGCAATATTCAGAATTTTGGTTTCTCGAAAGTAAACATATAATAATAAAATCATTTTTTACATACACTTATTTATCATTTATGGCCTATAGGACAGCCCTTGAAATTAAGAATTGTATAAGGAGAAATATGGCCACAAAGTATTAAGATTGCCTCCTTACCATTAACAGCTCAATTTCATAGTTAATTTGGTCTGAGACAAAATATCACTATGTCGATATTTTAAAATACCAGTTTTCCTTTGAACAACGTCTTAACAAATTAGAAAAACTCCAATGAAAAAGTTGTTTAAATACATCATCTGTCTGCATGTTAAACACACGACCGGAAGAAGAAATAATACTATCTTTTGTCTCTTTATTGAAGCAAAGCTTCATTCAGGTGACCTTCCACTGACCTCTGCTAGTAAAATATGAATTTAACTTTAATACTTTGACGTCTAATATCAACAATAACTAAATAAGAAAACCCACAAAAAAATTATATACAGGATATTCCATTTTTAGACCTATTACATTGACTATACTATATTTAAAAACGTACCATACTTTGTCTGTCATGCGGATGATATACAGGATGAGGGTACAAACACTCGAATTGATCGGGAGCAAATAAAATACACCTTTTATAGCCCAGAATTTGAGCAAACAGATTCTGCTGTTCATCGTAGTGGCAAGGAGTCACGTTCCCTTCCATTGATATAAACAGTACGTTGGAAGTCAATTCGCCCCAGTGATATTTGTTCTTTTTCTCCGCCACGAAATGCCAGTCGAATTTTAAATAGTCTTCCACTATCGTGGAACCTACGGTGGAGTTCAAGGGCTGTTGAAGATATAACCTGAAATAAACGTGTTGGAATGTAGAGTGGAAAAAGTTAAGTTTCAAATAATAGTCCAGTAAAATTGGGTATAATTTTTCAGTGGCATATATGTAGGTTTATAATATTTATTTCAAAGAGAGAATCATTACAGTAGGTATAATAATATTACACTAAATAGTTTTATGCAACATAATACAATAAGTACAAATAGTACAAAAAAATTAGATTTTTTTAAAGATAACAATTCATAAAGTTTTAAAAATGTGGGTGCAGACTCTTAATAGACATACAAACACATATCTAAAGAGTTCCCACATGTTTGATGGTAGCTTCATCCCCGTTTGCTTCTAAAACCACCCTTAAACATAAAATAGCGCCAGTTTTATTTTTATCAAAAACCGTCACACTTACAAAAAAAACCTAAATGGCTTAAAATGTTTTGTATAAAATTCTACATCAAAATTCCAATAACTCGTATGGCTATTTCTAGTTCAAATTTACCAAATGACTCTTAAAGTTGACATTTATTAGTAAAATAAAGGCAAAAATTAGTCTAGTGCTACAGTCAACAGTAAATGAGTTACTTAATTTCAAAAATGATCCTTTTTTATGTACCCAGTAACAGAATAGCAAATTTTGAATATTAATGCAGCACCCTCGATAACACTATGTAAACCACTAAAAAGTTATTTTGTTAACTTTATTATTTATTTTCTTACCTCTCATCCCCTCTTTTCCACTCCCTCAATTTCTTCATGAAATCTGTTATTTTCATATCCACCCTCTTTGTGGGCGGCGTAAATTCTACCCCTTTGAGATTGTTCTTATTGTATATCTTTTTTTCGTCGAAATATTTGAATTTGTGATTTCTCGATACGAAAACAGTGTGATTAGATTTGCCTAAATTTTTTTCTAAGTAATCAAGAGTCCATTTTTCTTCAGCTGGCTTTACCAGTTTCGAGCCGGTTATCAATACGGGTTGCTGAAAGAGTTTTTTTATGATCATTGATTAAAAAATAGTTACAAATAAAAACAAAAAATAACTCAAATAGAGTCAATCTAAATAATATGTCATAATAATGATAAACTAATAAAACTAACAACAAAAATCATAAATATATTAACATGTACAAAATCGAAACAACTAATATTAAGACTAAGGAATTTAAGTCTCAGTAAAAGTTTTAACACCCTCACAAAATTAGAGAAGCTTGAATTAAAAAATTCTAGACTATCAGCACAAGCATTAGCGCTTCGTGAAATTCTAGGCATGAATGAATTGAGGCCAGTATTAGTTCTCATGTAGGCCTGATGAAAATTGTTTATTGATCTTGTGCTTCTAGTTGGGGCTGCCAACAACATGCTTGAAATTAATGTAGGGCTTAAAAAATAATTTCAGATCTGCCTGATCTCTTCTTATTCTCAAAGTTGGTAAGGAGAATATCTCTTGCAGTGCCGCAAAATCATAGGAATAGTCATCTATCCATGGAATATTTGATTTAAATGCTAAGTAGCGAAGACATTTTTTCTGAACCTGTTCTAATCTATGAATGTGACAAGTATGCTGCGGGTTCCAGACTGAAGAGCAATATTCTAGCAGAGGCCTAACAAGGCTACAGTACAATAACCTGATAGCATTATTACTTGTAAAGTCTGATGTGTTTCTCTTTATAAACCCAAGCATACCAAGTGCTCTGGGTATTATTAGGTTCTTTCGTTAGCTATTGGTGTAGTGTCCACCAGTGTAAATTACACCAGTTACACCACCTTATTTACCCTAATTTACTTCCTCCTTATTCCTTATACACATCGTCGAGTGTAATTCACTCCTGCTAAATAGCTGGTGGAGAAAATATCCACCAGTGTACACCACATCGCCGACAGGAAGGTATAGTGGGTTTTACACCGGACCAAACGAAAGGTATGGGTGTGGGTTGGTGTAGTTCATTACTACACCCAACTACACCAGTGGGACGAACGAAAGAACCTATAGTGTCAATATGATTGACAAATGAGAGCGTGGAGTCCATAATAACACCCAGATCTCGAATGGATGCAACTTGTGACACTGGTGTACCCTTGATATTATATTGATAATCAATCTTGTTGATCTTCCTAGTAAAGAATATCGAGTGACACTTAGTGATGTTTAGTTTCATAGCATTATTCACACACCACTCATCAAGCCTAACCAGATCAGACTGAAGTTTGGGACAATTCTCAAGAGATGAAACTGCTGGGTAGCACTATAGGTCATCAGCAAAACATAAAAATTTGGCAAATTTGAAACATTCTGAGATATCATTTATAAATATTAAAAATAACAAAGGTCCCAAATGGGAACCCTGGAGAACTCCAGATGGATTGGGAATGTTTTTAGATCTGTAAATATTCAATTTAACAGTTTGGAATCTTTCAGATAAATAACTCACCAGCCATTGCAATAATGTTCCCATGATCCCAGCAGTCTCCAGTTTATTTAACAAAAGTTTGTGATTGAGCCTGTCGAACGCCTTGGAAAAGCCTGTATATCATGCACCTTATTGATAAACTTAACTTAGATCTTAAGTAATCAGCTACTATATTTTCAAACAACTTTGGAATGGAACTAAGATTACAGATGGGTCTATAGTTGGATATGTCTGCTCTGTTACCAGACTTGAAAATAGATGTAAGATAGCTCACTTTCCAGAAATCTGGAAATATGCCCGAAGCAAGAGAAGTGAAGTGGCCGCGAGAGAACAAAACTACAAAATCTGAGAACAGAAGGAGCGATACCATCAGGTTCTGGTCCCTTGGTAATGTCAATACTAGCCATCTCTTCATAAATGGTTGATATAGGAATAACATACTCAGATATAGAAATGTGATTAAGTAATGGTTTATTTTGAGGATCAATATTCTTATCAGTATATACTGACTGGAAGTATTCTGCAAAAAGATCAGGTGAATCTGGTCCCAAATGACATTGACTATCATTAAAAAGTAGAAATGGTGGTAAATCGTTCCTGTTCCACTTACTATTAACAAAATTCCAAAACTTATGTTTCTATGGTCTATTAAAGAAGATTCAGAACTGTTGTTAGCACCTTTTTGATAAAGTTTTACAATCAGAATGTAATTTACAATAGTCAACATAAACGTTGTGTAATCCTGAACTTTTAAATTTTTTGTGAGCTTGTTTTTTCAATATTGTCAGCTGCTTTAACTTCATAATGGAAATTTTCTTTTGGATGCTTTTTTCTGTGCAATTATAGCATGGATAAAAAAATAGAGAATATCATAAAAAATATTAAGCATATCATTCGCTGAGTGATGTAATAATAAGTCATCCCAATTTACCTGACCTAAACAATTGTTCAACAGAGATAAATCAGCCAAATCATAATAAAAACTCATAATAAAAAATATCTTTCTGGGGACCGCTCAGATTAAAATGGCTCAAAGAGTTCACAATCTGGAAGCTCAAAGGAGGATGGTAACCATCAGCTGGAACCAATGCTTCATCACTGAAGGTCACTATAGTGTTTCCATCTGTAGATAATATAAGATCTAGTATTCTGCCAGTGTTATTAGGAACTTTATTCACCTGATATAAATTGTGAAATGCACAGGCATCGCCCATTAAGTTGACCACATCTCCCATATGATTTTGTTCCCCTACTGTCATTGTAGGTACTGGGCAGTATTCCTTGGTTGACCAGGAGCAATATGGCATATTGAGGTCTCCACAAAGCCAAACAGATCCTTTATGATTTTTAATAATGACATCCTCTGTTGAACTGAAACACTACTGATACTTATTTATTGGAGATCAAGGTGGTATTAAATTAAAAAAGCTTGGCCTTTCTGTTCCTTATATGGCTTGGGTTAAAACCTTTTAAACAATCAGAGTTCAAATGGTAAGGATGTCTGTTCATCCAATATGATGTACCTTCAGGAGTCCCTCAGGAATCATATTTGGGACCATTATTGTTCTTACTACATATGATACTGAATATATTTTCCAATATACTTAATGGATATTGTTAATAAATTAAAATAAAAAATGCATGATGTGTCTCAAAGATATTGAGAGCTTTAAATTTGTGCACTGATAAAGCATCATTCTACAGACTTTTAATTAAAAAAGGTGGGAAACCCTCTCATTTAAAAAGTAGTAGATATGTATTAAAACAAAAAGCAGCAAATTTTTATAGATTTAATACAACATAGTGCAAATGTTTTTTAATTACTTCTAAAATACTTTTTGAAGGCTTACAAAAAAAAATCAATCTTTTGCCACCCTAATATTTATTATTATTGGTGTTTCCTGAAAATTTCACAAAAATCGGACAAAAACTAAAGGATCAGAAGGAATTAGAAATTTTTAAGGTGTTCAGTTTGTTTCTTGGTTTGTTCTTAAGGATAATTTATGTTATTCAATACTAAAACACTGACTTTTAAAGGTTTTATTGACAATAATTTGTCAAGTTATATAAAGAATTCTAAGACTCCAAATCAATTTAAAACACATCTAATTATTTATTTAAACAAACACAGTACCTATTTATATTGACATTAAGCTTAATTTCATAGTATCTATCATATAGTTGTAGTTTACTTTTATATTTTATATCATCTATTATACTTAAGTAAATTTAACTCTTCTATTGAGTTTGATCCTACTTTCAATAAAGATTATTATTATCTCAAAAACACATAAATAAAACCCTCTACTTCTATTTTATTATAAATAAAGATTATGTCAATCAAACTCGAATCAGCTAATCACCAGGAAATATTTAAGAAACAACAATTAGGCAGACTAATCTAGTAATAAAAAATTTAAATTATTCCTCAATAATCGCTGATAATTATCAAACAATGGAATATTTACAACCTTTACAACTGACAATCAGATATATGATAAAATAATTTACTTTATTTTAAAGCCTGTTTATTTGTTTATATACCTTGTTCATGTTATGACTAACAAAAAAAACCTGTGTTTGAATCACAGCGGTTTAATTAAATACCCAGTGAGCCAGTAATGATCTCTACATAACTCGTAAACAATAAATCATTGTTTAAAATAATTGAAATAACATGAGGTACCCCGTTAATAATGGATAGCTTAATGCATTATTGAATTCGATTTAAAATAGGTAAAAATTACGTTTTTCTGCATAAACTCGTCAACTTTAGGATCTTCATAATGTAATCTTGGTATTTCATCCAAGTGTAAATCGTATTTTCTAAGCTGACTGGAATCCCATCCTATTTTTTCGGCACACATTTCAAATCACTCTGTTTACAATCACAAAACCAATACGACGTATTTTACCGTTCCATTTAATATTTAGTTTATATGTGTCAATTTTTGTAAAACCACTTGTTTTTTTCGTGTTTTAATAAATTAATGTTCGATAAACAAAAAATAATAATTTAAAATGCAATAATAATAATTGCATTGCATGGTGTAGTTGCACTTTTTAATGTTTAAAGTTAAGTTAGCAACATAATAATAATTAGTGACAGAAAAAGAAGTAGAAGAAAGTCGTTTTTCCATGAGATTGTTTTCAACATGGAGGTTTTCAACTTCAACAGATGTTACGTCATTCATCATTCAGTTGTAGTTTAAAAAGTGAAAAATATTGAAAATGAATCAGTAAATGGGAATTGGGAATAGTATTGATAAAAGTTTATTTTATAAATTATTACATTCTTAAGTTAAATAGACTATAAGTTTGATAGGATATATCTAAAAAATGACTAAATTGGTATATATTTTTGTTTTTAAAATAAAAATGGAATAATTATAATAGTTCTATTTTATGGAATTAACTGAACTACACTAAACACATATTGTACTTATTTATTTTTTTCAGCTAGTTTAGAATTAACCATATCTTTAAACTGTCCTAATATCAAATTTTCACGCTTCTGCCGTTCTTCTTTGCTAAACATAGCTAACGCCCTTTTTTCATCAGCAGAATAAATTTGATTTTCCTTTCTAATACGAACAGCCTCCATTCGTCTATGCCTAGACCCAGACATTACATAACCAACTGATTCATATGTTGCTATTTCATCAGATGTTAAACCAATTTCTCCTCTCCTAGGAATACGTTTACCTTCAGCTACATATGCAGCCATAGCAGCACCTTCTCCGGGCAACAATGCTTTGCCCATTTCTTTGTGGGTAAGAGTAGCATGGGCTTTTTGTGAAGGACCAATATCCGATTCTTCATTATCAGAAAGAAAGTCATTTTTAGGAGTAGCGGATTTTTCAACCCACGTTTCTGTTTCTGAATCACTGTCACTATTACTAGAACTAGATGATACTTTCTTTTTTCTCTTTTTCTTTTTATCCTTCTTACGTTTCTTCTCTTTCTTGGTCTTCTTTTCTTTTTTACTTTTCCTCTTTTTCTTGCTCTTCTTTACGGTATCTTTCTCTATATGCTTTTCTTCATCATCTGTGTCTGTATCTTCACGTTCTGGAGATTTTCCCCAAATAACAGTGCATTCTCGTACTCCTAATATTTCTCTTTGCTGTCTTCTGGATTCCATAAAATCATCTTCGATAAATTTCTTACTTGTTTCTCTATCCCTGGATCGGTAGCCAAGTCCATGTCTTACTCTATCACTCCTATCTTGGGGGTTGTGTTTTTGAACAGGTGATTTTGACCTACTTCTAGATTTAGATATTCTAAACTTTTTGGGCGTGTATTTGGATACTGGTGATCTTGATCTTTTCCGTACTTTGTCGTGGAAACCCATTAGAGAATTTTCAATAATTTGTTACCCTTTTCAAACAATTTATTTGCACTTTTTAAAAATGTCATATCTCAAACATAAATATTCGTTTTTTTTGTCAGGGTTAATGCACCGAATCATCTATTTCTTTCTAATATATGGTAATGGACTGTTTACTTTGTCCATCACATCCAGTTAAAATTATTCAGTGTAATTAATTGAACGCAACAGAGCATTTGTCAAAAGTGACAGTGACAGTTGTCAATGACTGAGCGATATTTTTACGACGCAAATATTTATTAATTTCCAATTCACCAAAAGCCGGTAAAACAACATACATTTTAATCAAACTCTGCGAATTATAACGGTTTAAATTACTTCAAAAAAATGGGCACAATAGATCCAGAATTTATCATAATTTGTAGATTTTAGTTCGGCTCGAAAAAATAAAACTTGGCAATGCTGCAGACATTCCCCTCTGCCGACTGACGTTTATGGCAAGTAATGGCCAAACAAAATTTTGGATGTAGTTAATTTTGAAAATTAAAATGGGTGGTTCATCGAGTGCAACTAGGAAATTAACCGTCGAGAACGACGATCCAACAAGTGTGATTAAAGTTTCTGAAGAAGTCGTCGATCGCCTTAGAGGAAGCAATGGTAAGGTTAGAATGTTACATAAACTGCATGTAAACTTCGTTAAAACTTAAAAATTAACATCATTTTGCATGTTTGATATAAATATTATCTCGAGACTCCAGAAAAGACATCTATTTCTCTTATTTGTGATATACTGTTTCATGTTTAAAAGTGTACAATACCTTTTTAAGATATACCTAACCTATTAAAAACTGGATGTCTTCTGTCAGAAAATATTTTAAAAATACAATTATACTTAAATTCTATATTTTAGTGGTAAGGACTAAAGAACCGCAATACGGAAAACCGCCTCCAGATCAAGGGGGACAGTTTCCTTTATATTGGAATCCATCTAATCTAACCTCTCAACAAATTCAGCATCTTACAGCTAACGAATTGCAGAAGAATGATCAGTATTGGCAGCAAAGAATTAAAAATCTTGAAGAGAAGCACAAGAAGATGAATCAAGTTATGGAAGATGAATATGTTAAAGCAGTAAGTATGTTGCCACTTATCCCTTATACCATAATAAATGTTCTAGATTTTTTTATTAATATTAATGTTATTGACAATAAAGTGTGATTACTAAGAATTGAGCTGTACTCTCTTTAATATACAGTATTTTATTGACATCATATAAGAATTATTGTTAAAATTATTCCATTTATACTCCTAGTCCCTACCTGAAAAGGTGCAATTTGCTGAGTTATGTTTTCAGGTTCATCGAGTTTGGAGTACCTCAAAGGTTCTATTCTTGGACCTATCCTGTTTTTAATATTCATTAATGATATCTAAAGTTCGACCTTGTATGTTTCTTTGGGCATTCCTTAGTTTTTAAAATTTATCTCAGTAACATTTATGGCAACACAAGACATCTAAATTTTGTTTTACTTTAAATTCTATACTTGTATTTTCTATACTTTCAAATATAATGTAATAATTTGCAAAGTATATTACAATAGGTACGTTTTACCGAGATTTCACTTGAGTCCCGCTCAAACGCGGACCACGTTAATTTGCTATCAAGAAATAGTTTATTTAGCTTGATTCTATCCTAGATATACACATGATTTTATTTTCTTAGGTATTTATTTCGACGAGTATAGAGGTGATGACCAATGGAGTTAACAAACAGCGCCAATTCGCTAGTTGGTTAACTTACTGTGTTGATGTTCACATATACTTTTTGGTTTAAACTTAACAGAATGGGTGGCTAGTATAAGTGCCCCTTCTTGAGCTAACAAACACCATTTCGATAGCTAACTATTAAATTTCACCATCTGGGTTTGCGTAGATTTGTGTGCACAAATAACTTGTAAAATATCGATTTTTATATGTTCTATTGAAATGTCCTAAATTAATCCATTGAAAAACAGATGTCTAACTGACTTTCGGGGTGAATGTCCGAAGGCCATCTGTTTATTGGGTTACATTGATAATATTTTGAAACAAATATCCCTTATTAAAACGAAACTCGGGTGATATCTCAAAGAAAGTTAAATTAACTTTTTCTACTCACCATTGAAAATTTAATTGGTGTTAATATTTGAACTTAATATAAGCGTTTTAACTGTTTTAATTATTACTTCGTGAAAAGAATTAGTTCTATGGGGGTTTGTGGGTCAAATTCTTATCTTTTCTGTTTATTGGGCTTGTACACATAATATTAGAGACCCCGCGAACAGAAGTATTGCTGTTATAAGATTTAATTATCTAAAAGATTTTTCATAAAATGAAGTAACTTTTCTTTAATAAATGAAACTAATAAATTGTGAAGTTACCAGGGCCAAAATACCTCAAGGTTCTATTCTTGGGCCTATCCTGTTTCTACTTTCCTATCTGTATACAGATATAAGGAAAGTATAGGAATCATGATTTTTTCGACCTCGAGTTTTCGACGGATTTTTACGTTTTGAGGTCCCCTGAATCCGTTTTGACTATTTTCGCGATGATGTCTGTGTTCACCATAACTCATGAACCGATACACAGAAAAACACCAAATTTTAAACTTAAGCTTTATTCCGTCGTCCAATCAACTGATTAGATTTTGGACAAAGTCAGAACATCTGGGGGGGTACTTTATGGGAAGCCGTTTTTATATTTTATGGAATATATCTGTTATTTATGTTTGGAGAAAAAAATTGTTCAAATAAAAGTTACTTGTAATATTATTATCTATAATTTTTGCTTATGTCAAAATTTCCTGAAATGGTCCGTATTCGAGAAATTTGACAAAATGTGCAAAAATTCTGATTTTTATGAAAATTGTTGGACTAAAAGTTGTTTGCGATATCGATCTCTATAATTTTTGTTTATACATTATTTTTCTAAAATGGACCGTAATGGAAAAATTGGAGGAAAAGTGCTAAATTTAAATTTTTCAGTATTTTCGTTTTCAATGTATATATTTGGTTTATCCTCTAAACATTTATAGAGGTGCTGCAATAGGTTGTACAAAATAACCTGAAAAAGCCTATAATAACTAGATAGGAAAGTCATGTGTTGGACACATCAGATTTTTAATATTAATTGTTGATATCTAAAGTTTGACTTATACGTTCCTTTGGACACTCCTTAGTTTTAAAAATGCACTCCTTAATTTTTTAAATTTCTCCCATCATGCTTTATGGTAAAGCATAACCTCAGGTTCATTGAGTTTGGAGTATCTCAAGGTTCTATTCTTGGGCCCATCCTGTTTTTAATATTTATTAATGATATCAAAAGTTTGATCTTGTATGTTTCTTTACACTCTTCAATTTTTAAAAATTTTCCCAGTAACATTTGTCGAAAAAATGCAGATAAATTTTCTACAAATTTAACTTTTTTTATTGTTTGCAGGTGAACGAATTTACAGCCAAGAAAATAGATAGAAAATTACCACCCTGTAAAGAAACCGAACATGCAGTCAAGGAGTGTTATTTAGAATATCCCAGGGAGCCCATGAGATGTGCAAAAGTAGTTCAAGCGTTTCAAGAATGCGTCGATTTGAAAAGGAATACCTTACTTTTGAGCCGAGGATGAAGTTCTAGGGGAGTATATTAAGCTTTTAGATTTGAAATTAGGTTGTTATCTTAATTGTAAATACAATAAATTTTGTTTAATTTACAAGTATTGGTTGTTTTATTTAACTTTGGAAAACACTTCTTTCAGTTGTTACACAGGAAGAAATTGCTGAATATTTTCTATTCAATAGAATTTCCCTGTGGGTACTACTGTCACCACAACCACCACTTCCACCAATATTCTTATTTTCAAAGATTACACAAGTTTGTTAATTGTTAACCCTAGATAGCCAGTGGATATTTTCAAAACTCTTGCATATCCCTACTTCTATTGCATTTGATGGTCTAACTGCTTTTCTTAGTCCGTCGACTCAATATTGTTAAAACGATGTAGACATATTGTGGCTCTAACAGACATTTTTGTTACTTTTATGGTTCCTGTAACTATAAGCAGTCAACGGCACATAATAAATGTCCCTTCACCATATAATCTCAGTCTGCTTCAGGGTTTAAAATTCACTTAAGGAGTATTATTAACTCGTAAACAATCTTTATAGAATTTGTGGAAGAAAATCCACATGTCTATATATTGATACACCCAACAATATTTAAGAAGGAACTCTGAAGAATTTTTGTCTGTCCTTATATCAAAAAAGAATGACGAAATTATAGTGTGCGATTTGCATGAAACCTATATATGGTGAGAATCAGAAAAATTAGTTTCTCTTAAAAATGAATTCATAAAATTGATGTATTTATTACCAGTAATAAAAGATTGAATAATGATGACAATATAGGGCTAATAAATTAAGTGCTCCACCTAGAATAAAATTAGTTATTTTAAAAAATCCATTGCACTAGTATAGGGAAAAATGATAGTACACATAAATATCTAAGCTAATTTTTATTAACAAATAAAATACATTTTACTTTTAAATGGTTGAAATTGTTCACTATCAAGTCTTTAGTGCTCATCCTCTTCGTAGCCATCGGGAAGGGGGTTGGCGTGTGGGTTGTGAAACAAAGATTTGTTTCCATCTCCCCATGGAAAACGTTTGGTCCTTATTCTCATATGTTCGTATTTTACAAATTCGGGACGTTCGTGGTGACCGCTTTGATGAGACAGGTAACAATTCACTGCACACAGTATAATCGAGGGGAAGGCTACGAAAAAAGTTAGATTTTTCCAAACCTTGAATCCGCCTTCATGCATTCCAGATACGGCAGAAGGGCCTTCTATTTGCGCGGCTCTTCTCGCAGAAGTCTGCATAAATCTGCGGATACCTTGGTTTAGAACGTAAGCCATTTTCAGCTGAAATGTATTCAAAACTAGAATTTTTAGAAAATTATATAATTCACCAGAACTTACGTCTTTTTTCTTTAAGTTGACAACTGACAACCAAATCAATATTGATTATCCACTTTTTAGCGAGTCTCATTTGAAATGTACAAGACCAATTTGACGTCTACCTCGTTACTGCATTTTTGTTAGATTGTATGGCTACCCTTGACGTTGTCTCTCCTTGATATTTCCAAATTCCTTTGGCTGTATGCATGAACGCAGAAGTAAATGATCTGTGGAACGCAGGAACGTAATCGTGACGTTAGACGTTAAGCAGACATCTTGTTTATGTTTATAAATAAACAGAAGGCATAATCTACTAAATAAAACACGCTTTCTTATTAGTTTTAATTGTGAATGTAGATTTAAATCTTATTTAATTACTCGTATATCAAATTACACAGGTAAGCGCTCATATTCCGTTAACGATACTTTTAATTATTGCCGTTAACATTAAAACTACCTTTTGCGTTAAAGACTAGTCATAAATAAAAAATGAAATTAATAGTTTTTTTTTTAAGTTTAGAAGGAACATCTTTCTTAGTATTTGATTTAAACGCATTGTATGAACATTTTTTTATTTAAAAATATGGCCGATTCTGATATAAATATTAAAAAAAATGTCATAAAGTCGTGCTTACACGGTTTTTAGTACGGCTTACACACTTATTTTAACGGAGGGAAAGCGGTAATTTTTGAATTTTTGCTAAATGTGTTTATCAACATTATTTTCAATTCATATTAAATAGTAGGTATAATAGGTCACTGAATTTACACCCTTATCCGATTAAGAAATAAATGAAAGATTTGACTGATCAGTTGTATTTTAAACATTTACTCATGGGTGGCGTTATTTTGTATATTGCGAGGGGTTCTTATAGAAACAAAATAAATATAAATTTTAGGTATTTATAATTTTGCCTTAGAAAGCTTAAAAGAGATAGTTACATGATTTTGTTGTTTAATAATAGTTTATTCAGAACAAAAATTTTAATTTACATACACAGTTTTACCCTGCGATTAAGTAAGTAGGATGATTAAAAATAACATAACTTTTAAAATTTTATATTAAACAGTGATTATTATAAAAAATTGTCTTTTGACATACCTATAAATCTTCGGCATCACTCTCAAAATTTGTGTCACTAACTTCGCTATCATCATTAAGGGATATATTTATAGGGTTAATTTCGTTTATCCTGTTTTCACGTGTCCACCAGTCGTCAATTAATTTATCACATTTTTGAACACTTTTTTGCCAAATTTCTGGGGTTGATGTATCCAGTGCTTGTTTCCATATTTCCCTTACTGCTTCATCGCTGTAACCATTAATTCCAATATGATTGTCATAATACATTTTACATATACCCCAAATGTGTTCGATGGGGTTAAACTGACAATGGTATGGTGGAAGCTGTAACACATCATGTCCATAACTATGTATGACTTGATCTACCATATAAATTTGTGGCGGTTCATGCCATTTGGCTAAAGTTAACAACTTAGATTTAAGGGCGTATTGTGGAAATGCAACATGTTCGTTACCTAGCCATTCTTGTATTTTGGCTACAGTCCAATTCTGTCTTGGCGGTTTGTTTAAAAGTTCTGTGTGATAGCTGGCATTATCTAACACTATAACAGACGGTTCACTTAAATTTGGTAATAGTTTTTCATTTAACCATTTGATAAACATATCCGAGTTCATGTTATCATGGTAGTCTTCTGATTTTGATTTAGAGGAAAATATTAATCCTGCATCATCCACAAATCCATTCTTTCCACCTGCGTGCAAGATTATATGCCGCTTTCCCTCACCATTAGTATGTTTTATTGATTTTATATTTTCATCTTGCCATATTCTTTTCGTTCCATCTTTAGAAAATATCCAGGTTTCATCCAAATATATAAACGAAGCTCCATTCTCTTTTAAACGAGTGTATTCTCTTATAAAATTTATTCTTTTGTGAACATTATTTTTTTTCACATAAAGCTTTCTATTATCTTCTTTCTTAAATTTGAAACCATTTCCTTAAGCAACTTCCAAGACTTCTTATGCCAAATTCACCAATTTGTATTTCTCTTAAGTGTGTCTAAAGGCATTTCTTTATAAGCTTACTACAACATACTTGGTTACAGTATTGTGGTTATACTGTGGTGACATTACGCATACCTATTATTGAATGTCATATTTAATTTAAGTTTGGGGATTTCTAAACGGAATTTGAATTTTAGAAATTTTAGTATGTTTTGACTTTGTTATTTTTTATTATAGTATGTTCTAGTAAGCTTATAAATGAATGCCTCGTTAGATATAGCTACATATGCTTTGGTAACATGTAACCAAAGCAGAGTAACCAAACGTTATAAAGAAATGCTCTGGTTACAGAAGTATGTTCTGGTAAGCTTATAAAGAAATGCCTTAAGTTGACATGTTCCTTTTTCGCACGAATTTCATACACCATATCACGAATACGAAATTTTGTCTCACCAGATAGGTATATCCGACGTTTTTAGTTTTTTGCGAGGTGTGTATTTGCTCTCTCTGCTTTTCACGTTTTTCAAACATATTTTAATTCTGAATCACTAATACCGAGAGCTGTACAAACGTGTTCATGCACACTCACTACTGACTTTAAAGGTCCTTCGTTACCTTTTTCCGCCGTAAAATACTTATGTAAATTACAAATTAAGTCATTTATTACACGTAACACGCGCTTCAGCATTTTCAGTTTCGACATACGTCCTCTTCTAAATCCAAAACTGAACTAAATAATTTAGCGCAATTAGTCCTATAACATCAGTAAAGAAATATAATATTTAATCTTAATTTTATACCTGAGAAGGGGACTTCCGGAAATTCCTGACCATAAAGCGTTTATTGTATTCGGGGAAAATGGTATTACCATAAACAATGTCCAAAACAAAATTATATTTTAATTTTTTTCGTGTATTACTTTAGTAATTTAATTTTAATAAACATAATTACGTACTATATAAGTATTTAATAATTAAAATATATTCACCCTCTACCCACCGGTGGACTACGGGTGAGATTACAGAACGTCTGCAACTTTGCAGATCTGCAAATATGGCGGACTTACAAATGCAAGTATTCCAAAAAATATCTGCAAATTCGCAATATTTATTGTGGTTTATTACCCCCAACAACATTAAACCCAAATTTGGAATACGAAAACTTGATACTTAGTCAGTCATATTTGCAGATTTTCAAAGTTGCCGCCATATTTGCAGATCTGCAAAGTTGCAGACGTTCTGTAATCTCATCCTACGCTTATTTTACTCAACCACCTGATGCGAAATTATCCTGTAGACCGACTCAGTCGTGCATCTGTTTCTTAATCCGATATGGGTGTAAATTCAGTGAATGACCTATATGCAAGGCATCTCATTCCAAAAAGAATACTAATTATGTACCCAATTTTTAGGTTTCTTACAAAAAAATTACTTCTGCGATTCTGAAATGTCGGATCCGGAAAATAGTAATAAGCTTTTAGCCCCCTTTGAGTACGGTAAGTATCTACTTACCAATTCCTTTTTTATTTTTAATTTTTCACTTTTCAAAGATTGTTAATATATTTTAGACGTTGATATTGGTCTTTTGATAAAATTGGTTCAGAACTTTCCCTATTTATATAACAACCGGCTAGTGGAATTCAAAAATATAACTTTGAAGGAACGAACTTGGAGTAAAATTGCAATTACACTTAAAGCTCCAGGTAGGTAATTTTTTTGTAATCTTTTATTCTATTTAAGATTTTATTCGAAATTTGTAGTTGAAGACTGTCGACGAGTATGGAAAAACGTCCGAGACAAATATGGCAAAGAAACACGCCACTATATGGAACATCCAGGCAGCTCAAAATGGGAGTTTTATGACAGCTTGCATTTCCTAAAACACGTTATAAAACGAAGGAGACGGGCTAGAAAGAACGCTCGAAGGTAAAGTTATCTTAAGTGTTAATTTTTGAATTGTAAGTTAAAATGTTTACAGATTTCAATGCAACAAAATTGAATATAAAGAAGAAAGTACAGAAGAAGCTAGTAATGATTCGCATGCCAAGAAAACCATTTGGGAACCAATTGAAGTTGCTTTTTCTCCAAAAGATATTTCAATTTTAGAGAGTGAGGTAGAGGATAATTTAGACACTGAAGAAATTACATTGAATGGCGATATGATAGACGAGTTACCTATAAAACAGGTAATTATAATGTAGTTTTCTTTGATACCTTTGAAGCTTTCCCATGTTTAATATTTCTACTTTGATTTAAGCAGAATGACTTTACTGCACCAAAACTTTATATGTAAACCACGAAGTTTAAAAAAAATATTTTTGGCCTTGGACAATTTCCCGCCTTCTACCTACTTTTGCCGCGTTTGAATATCCACATCGGATGCATCTGAGATGATGTGAATATTTTATAACGTGATATAGAATTAGATCTACACTTTATTGGTCACGTGATACAATGACAAGTTAGAAGTTTATACTTTTTAAATTTTACTTTTGAGGCTACAAATCAACCTTAATTTGAAATCTACACAAAAATTAAACAAACTAATCACTCTTATATTCATGCTAGCATAAACAAAGGAGAAATTGACAAACTTGGCTTCACAGTACACTTACTTTCTGGCATGAAACGAACATCTCATTTTAAATCGAGATGTAAAAAATGTAATCTGGACAGGTACATCTCGGATTAACAAACGCTCGAGATGTAAAAAATGCATCAGATGTGGATATTCAAATGCGGCATCTATTCTTCCATTAATTATGTGAGGTATTTTTGAGGATTTTTTGACTCCCCCTCCCCCCTTGGCGAGATTTGGTAAGATTTTCCTTAACTCCCTCCCCCCCTTCCCTAATTTCACGTGAGATTTTTCAAAATTCGTGTGTTGGGTGTAAATGTGTTGGATTATTAAAAAAAAAACAAAAACACAATATGTTCCATTACTTTTATTTAAGACTAGCAAAGACTAGTGTTTGAGAGTGTTGCAATTATTTAAAATCACATTAATAAAATTAAATGATAAATACTTAAATGGAAATTAATAAAAAATAAATAAACATAATTATAAGATTTTTCCATATTTTATTCTAGAAATACTTTTACTATAATTTAACTTTACTTTCACGCAATTTTACACCGTTTTCTACTAGAAAAAAAATTACGTGAGATTTACGAAAACCCCCCCTCCCCCCCAAGTGAGATTTAGAAAGATTTAGTTCCTTGAACACCTCACGTAATTAATGGACGCCCCCACATTCTATCAAATTATAAATTGCAAAAGAAAAAATATGCTGAAAAAATAAATCAAACTAAAAGGTAATTCTTTCAAGATAATTTAAAAAATAAAAATATTTGCCAGAAACAAAAAAATCATCTGGAATACTGTAATCATTACACTGTCTTCACCTTCAAGGTGAACACGACATAAAAATAACAACTAAACGTCGACATTTTATAGTGGAAAACCAAAAAATTAAATAATTAACCGACTTCAAAAAAAGGAGGAGGTTATCAATTCGTCGCGATATTTTTTTTTTATGTATGTTCAGCGATTATTCTTTAACACGGTGTCCGATTTTAATGATTCTTTTTTTGTTAGAAAGATGATATTTCATATAAATTTAGTCAAAATCTAATAATTGGGTCCATGAGAAAATCCTCAAACTCTTCATTTTTTATGTATGTTCAGCGATAATTTTTCAACACGGTGTCCGATTTTAATAATTCTTTTTTTGTTAGAAAGGGGCTACTTTAGGGGTGGTCCCATATAAATTTGGTCAAAATCTAATAATTTGATCCTTGAGAAAATCCTCAAACTCTTCATTTTTTATGTATGTTTAGCGATAATGCTTTATACCACCTTGTCCGATTTATACGATTCTTTTTTGTTAGTAAGGGGGTACCTCAGGGGTGGTCCCATATAAATTTGGTTAAGATATGGTGATGGCATCTGCACGTTTTTGAAGTCGGTTTTTTAAAATTTTTAATTTGTAATACTTGTCATGAAATCCAATATTATAATGTATGGCGTGTTTCTACTAATAGTGCATATTAATACATTTACAATTTGGGAGCTTTATAGCCTTTTCTATTTATTTATTATTCAGAATCGGAACACAAAGCAATAAATATTTTTCAAATTGAAACTAACATGTTTTAATCTATATTGCCTATTATCCTGTGAAACCATGTATAATTATTATAATTTAGAAATAAGTTAATATTAATTTGTATCTAAATAACATTATCGGGAGTTGCATATTTACCTTAAAACAAATTCTCAAGTAAATTTACGAAATTTACTTTACAAAATAGAACAGTCAACTGGATTTGAATTTTCGCGGCAACTCCCGCAGCTCTTGGTTGATAACAGCACATTTGGCAACGTTGGATCGTGGGTTAGATACCGTTTCGTATCATGACAAATAATGACAGTTAATGACATATTATATTGGGATTTCTACTTTTCCTATTAAAAAGAGGTTATGTTGTTTGCGTTACGTGTATACGCCAGAGCCCGTAAGTTTACGTATGTACGTAGACGTAAACGTGAAGGATATTTTAATAGGCATGCGCAGATGTCGAACTTAACGTATACGTTTACGTTTATAACATCACTTAACTCTCTAATATTTAAAATACGGAAACTTTTCCCGCAAGATGGCGCCAAAATCAAAAGTTACGTAATAAACTGTCACACAGTCAAATTCCTTATAAAATTACCTTTTCAATGATGTGTCACACTTTCCCTATTTCAATTTCATTGGTAATAGTGACAGAGGGGTGGGGAGGGATGCAATGAACTGGAGTGGGGTAGAAAGCCAATGTGCATATTGTATCAATAGAACAAGATGCGACTCTATGGGCGCTGCCATTTTTATTTCTCATCTCACTCGGGAGTATTTATAATAACCATTTTCTGTTTCACATTGTTATTGTTCAATCCACAAGCTGGTGGATCAGACAATAACAAAGTGAAATAGAAAATGGTTGTAATAAATACTCCCGAGTGTGATGAAAAATAACCTGTCTTTCCCCATAGAGTCGTATCTCAAGCCTATTGACAAGCATTCTACCCCACTCCAGTTCATTGGAGGGATGTAGGATAGTTGAGGATATAATCAAAAGATGTCCCCTTTGACTTCTTTTTGCATTTTCTCAAAAAAAAAATGTGTCTTCAAGATATGCGATCTGTTTCGTTTTCGGTGCCTCACCCTGTATAATAAACACATCAATTGCCTTGGGTAAATTTCCAGCAGATCTAAAACTAGGGGTAGTAACACCAATCTTCAAAAAAGGAAACCAAAAATTACTTGAAAATTATAGGCCAATTACTGTTCCTACTGTATTTTGTAAGCTTTTCGAGAAATGTGTATACAAACACAAGTTGACGTTTTTATTTAAATATATATCAGATTACCAACATTGTTTTCTTCCAGATAGGTCAACAGTGCCACTATGGGCTTTTTCAATTATATATATAGTCAGTTGGATAAAAAGAGATTTGTGGGGGCGCTCTTTTTTGACCTCTCCAAAGCTTTTGACTGTATTGATTTGAATATAATTGAAAATAAATTATTTGCTTTGGGTTTCAGAGGGGATTTTCTAACGTGGCTATCTTCATATCTCAACATGAGGAAAATTTGTGTTAACATTGAAGACTATACCGATCTACATTTAAAGATATTGATCGTGGTGTCCGTCAGGGGTCAATTCTAGGCCCACTAATTTTCTTGTTATATATAAATGATCTCTCATCACAGATTAAAGCAGATTATACTGTTATGTATGCTGATGATACCACATTGGCATCTGATGCTGAATCTCCTGCGGAGCTTCTCTTAACATTTAATAATTTAGCATATCAATTTACTGTATGGTGCAAAAGAAATTCCATAATATTAAATTCTAGCAAAACTGTTGTTATGCAATTTTTTTCTAGAAATAGGATAACTGATAATATAAGTGTAAAAGTTTTATCGGATGACATTTCTTTCTCTCATATAACTAAGTTCCTAGGAGCTAAGATTGACAGCAATATGAATTGGGATTCAAATGTCAATTTTATCTGTAAAAAGTTAAACAGCGCTTACTATGCAATCCTACAGGTAAAAAATATTTTCAATACTAATCAACTTCTTCAGGTATATGCTCTTGTTTATTCTTATCTCTCTTATAATGTTATCCTGTGGGGAAACTGTACAAATGCTTTAAGAGTTTCTATTAATCAAAAAAGAATTATTACACTAATTTTCAATTTAGAAACAAGAACTACATGTAGGGATCATTTAAAAAAATATAATATACTCACATACCCAGCCATATACATTTTTAAAACCATTCTGTATGTTAAAAAAAATCATTCATCATTTTCTAAAATACAAGATAATCATAACTACCCCACTCGAAACAATGAAGCAATTCGTATTCCAAAACATTCATCAGCTCTATTTGAATTTAGCCCACACTACTCTAGACTTACTCTTTTTAATCATCTTCCATCCTCGATTAAAACAACCATCCCCTATATTTTTAAAAGAAAATTAAAAAACTATTTAATAGATAATTGTGGGTACAGTATAGATGAGTACCTACCTCAGTAATGCTATATTGTTTATACCTGATTTATTTTAGTTATGGTTTTATTTATATATCTGACTTATCCTATATCGTGTACTATGATCTAAAAGGACAAATACATATTTATTATTATTATATATCTAGTAATTCAGTGATATTTTACTATCGTGGAACAATTGTCAAAAGCGGCCTCTTACTTAACGTTACATCTATTAAAAGTGGACTTTTACATAAAATTCAACTAACTTGCAAGACTTTAATGGCTTGTTCAAAATAAACTGCTTTAATTCGTCCTTCTTTTTTCAATATTTCTCCATAATATTGTTTTTATCTTCCTGTTTTCGCACCGTGTCCCTGAAATGGTATCGATATGCATTTTTATTCCTTTTTAGATCAGTGAACATGAAGATACAGTCAACATTGTGCGATATCAGACCTCTGAAGAAGCTTTCGGGGCGTACGTAGCTTCAAGACTCCTGGACTTCGACATCAACGTCAGGCAATCAAAGAAAGTGAAAATATTTAAAATTTTAGAAGATTTGGACGAATTATGCTGACATATAGGCATATATTTATTGTTAATGCAGGTTAAGTTTATAAAATGTAATATAATGTATATATATATTTTTATTGTTGGTTGTTAATTTAAATTTAAAGTATCTTCCGGTAAGAATGGCCGTTTTATTGATTGACGTATAGGGAATTTCCTATTTTTCTGAGCGTTAGGTAAGAGTAAGAAAATATCTATTTAAAACTGTCATTATTTATTTTAAAATGTATGAAATAATACTCCTTAAATTAATACTTGTTAAAACTGTTAAAAATACTGTAAAAATAAAAATACTGTTAAGATAAAATTGCACCCCAGGTAATAAGTACAAAAACAGTGGACCACTGATGACGCACATTTGGATATTTGTGTTTCGCTTTTTTCGCCTGACATTCTTCTACATCTGAAAGAATTACACAATTAAGAACATCCAAAAGTGTATAAGTACCTAGAATGTATACATATTGATATGGAAATATATTGAGGGCAAATGTTTATGCCAGAAACAATTTGGTTGGTGTATAATTGAAGTACCTAAGCAGAAAACAAAAAATGAAACAACAGGTGCAGTTGAATCATTATGGCTTGAAATTAAAAATCAGTAATGTTAGGTTCTTCGTAGCTTGTGTATACAGACAAAAGTAAAAAACAACTAAAGAGCTTAATTTAGGACTAATACGGGCTATCAAAAATGCTATGACACTGAAAGAACCTGTCTTTATCATGGGAGATTTCAACTATCTTGGGACAAGCTAGAAATCACCCCCACAACCAATGTAGTTATGACTTCTTGGAGAGTTACAAAAATCACAGAAGACACCAACAAATTGATTTCCCAACAAAAAACAGAAATGACCAACAATCACTTTTAGACTTTAGAAGAAAATAATTTTTGATATCCAACGACATGCACCACTAGGAAAAAATGACCACATAGACTTCACAGCCAAAACAAAAAACCCCAAGTTATAATCCAGCAAACTCACAAAGTTTACAAGAGGCAGTTCTGGACATCTTACTATGAAGCTGTCAACGACTTACATCAGCAAGAATTACATAAGGTAGCCAATCAAACAAATATTGACACTTTCTACGAGACAATAAACAGAATAATTAACATGCATGTACCAATAAAACCTCAAAAAGTTAACAAGCAAAAACCATGGCTGACCAAATAAGATCCATTAGAAAAGGAATACGTGCACAAAAATGAAATATTCAAATCTGAATAAAACTATTAAAGATATCAACAACAAAATAACAAAACCAAAGGGTGCCCAATGACCGCAAGGAAAACTTATGTGAACATAATCTACTAGCCAAGCAATTCTATGCATACATAACAAATTCAACATAATTGATAAAGCAACTGGACAACCATTCGAAACAAAGAAATTGCAGAATGCTTTGCAGAATGATTTGAAACTGTATACACAGTATTAGATCTGAACACAATCAAAACCCACATTTTCTTTAGAAGGCTACTCCAGGATTGAAATAAACATTCACAGCAGAAAAAGTAGAGACTGTGATCAAATCATTAAAACCAAACTTTAGCCCAGGGCTTGATGAAATCACACCAGTTTTCTCAAGAATTGTGTATAAGTACTGAAAGAGCCATTGTCTAACAACAATGAGCACAGAAGAGTTCCTTGCAGCTTGGAAGAAAGATATAGTAATACCGCAATATACAAAAAAGGAAACAACATGCAGAAAAGACAAATCAGCCTAACAAGGGCACTATGTAAATGCATGAAAAAAATAATAGCCAAAGAACTCACAGAATTTCCGTTGTTTTACCTGCGCAACAACATGGCTTTCTCCCAGGAAACTGAGTGGACTCTAGCTGATGACAATCATGAACCAATTGATGTCTTTACCTTGATTTTGAAAAAGCGTTCGACAAAGTACCAACAGAGTTTTTGCTTTATAAATTAGAACATTTTGGAGTTAGGGGTAAACAACTGAAGTTGCTAGAGGGCTTCTTTACTGAGTGTACTTCCCAGGTACATATTGATTGCTCACTTTCAAAAGAGCACAAAGTACACAGCGATGTTCCTTAGGGATCAGTCCTAGGACCACTGCTGTTCATAGCATACCTAAGTGATCTTTACCAAGGGCTCCACACCAACAACGCTTTATTTGCTGATATGTAAATCCACTGCTACATCCTGCTGAATTACAAATGGATCTTACCAACATCAAAAAGTTGACACAGTAGTGGAAAATGCTTTTGAAATATTTCAAATGCACTATTTTACATATAGGTCAAAATAATTCCAAATCGGAAATAACATTAGTAACAAAACAACAAGATTTAGGAATCACTTAAACATATGACCTAAAATGGGAAACACATATCCCAAAAATTGCCAAAAAAAGGCCAATTCAATGATCTACATTATTTAAACAGCCTTAAAGACTTATCGACATAAATTATTTGGAAACTCCACAAATTATAAATCTAAGACCAAAACTTGAATATGTCCAAACTCTGGAATTCATACTATGTCAAATACATCGATAAGATAGAAAGAGTGCAAAGGAGTATAACCAGGTACCAGATTACCACAAAAACCTAAGGCAAGATTAGATTTAACAACTTTAAGAGACAGGAGGAGAACCAGAGGTGATCTCATTGAGATATTTAAAATACTCAACAGTCACTATGCTCGTAATCTGAGAAACATCTACCACTTTTGTCACAATACAAATCTGAGAAGTCATGATCAAAAGCTATCCAAAGGAAAATGTAATAAACTTTTGCGGAGAAAATTTCTTATCAATAGAACCGCCTAAGCATCAGTACAATTACCTGTACCTCCACAAATCAATTCAAGGATCGCCTCAACTATAAAATGAGAAGTTGGACCACATCTTTTGTGTACTACTGTGTATAGACAACAAAACAAAAATCCAAAAACTATTATGTGATATTTCTAAACGGTGTAGCGGTTTAACCAAATACAGCAGTCTCATCTTTTTAAAACCGCCTACTGTTGTTAATAATAATAATAATAAATATTATTTTTAATCAATTAGAAAGTCAGAAGTATTTGGGAAAGTATGGAAAATGTAATTGTTGTTTGGATTTTGTTAGATTTACTAGCACAACTGAAATTCGATAGAAGAGCGAGTATTAGGCATTCCAAACAAAATGGCTACCAGTGGGTTTTGACAGATTATAGTATGGCAACATTATGGAAACCCTGTAGGTCAGGTGATTTGACAGGGTCAATGAAATAGATAATTATATATATTGATCATTCAGTTTTTTCAAAATGGACAAGCGCTTATACCGTGAAGTAAAAATATTGGTAATTATTATTTTTTACTAAAAGGCTTAAAATTGGTTTTAAAACACATTTTTGCTAAACCGATTCAAATTAATGAACACTTGCCAGGCAATATGGCCGCTCGCAAACGACTCGCTTTGAGCAATCTATATAACTATATATGTATGATTGACCCTGTCAATGAAAACAGGTCCACAGTGTTGCCATATCTAAACTGTCAGTTGCCACTTGTCAGCATTTTGACAAGTCGTTGGAATGCCTAATAAAGAAAAAAATTAAAAAAGGTGAAAAGAAAATTTTATTAAAACAAGGAAAGCAAGAATCAAACAATGAAGCAGAACGGCACAGAAACTGAGTAAGAGGAGCTTGGGAGGTGAAGCTCCTAGAGTGGTCCCAAGATGAGAATTGTACAGCCATGTGCTCCACGCTGCGCGAAGGTCGACGTTAGAGACAAAGGCGGACGCATTTCTAGTTAACTCTCATTATGTTCAATTAATTTACACTTAAGCCAGGCTGCGCCACTGAATGGCTACGTTTGGCTTCGCCGGGTGGCCGTTGCTAGGCGACTGGCCACTGCGTAACTTTTGCCGTTGCCATGTTGTGTACCTTTCTCGTCTTGGGACCGCTCTACCACCAAACAGTGGCAGAGACGGAGCAACAGAGAAGTCGGAGCGCAGCAGAAAGAAGAATATTTATTATTCCTTTGTAGTCATTTCAAATTTAAATTTACTGTAATATTTTAGATAACTGAACCCACCCCGGATTGAGATTAATTTGTGGTTGAAATTTCTAGATCTAGATATAAGAATTATAGTAGTTGGAAGGATGTTTCTATACGCTAAATTAGTGATGACATAATTTTGATTCCACTGACAACTACAATAACAGTATTTCTTTGAGTGCGTTTTGTTTTCCTAAATTGGCTTTAAACATTTATAAATATATTTCTAGAGCAAGTAGATAACATGCATTAAGTATATAATCATTATGTGTCAAATTATTTATCTATAAACTACTTTTTATGACCTGCAAATGATATTTAATAAAAAATAAAAATAGTAAAAACGTATATGTAAAATATTGTAAAAAGTTTGGTTAGAATTAAATGTCAGTGGAACCAAAATTACGTCACACTTTTATAGCGGAAGTAATGAAATAAAGGAAGTTAAAAAAAATGTAAAAATAATTTTACTATCATAGAAAAGGAACCAAGTACACAAGCAGAAAGACACATGCAGAGGAACAGCACAAACAGGCAGTGGCAGGAATGGCAGAAAAGTAGAAGACAATTCGGAGCACAGAGGAAGATAGAATGAACTCATATTTGTTTATACAGTGAGCATCATAAGTCTTACCCCCCCTATCTAACTCGTTACTGCAGTCTTGTTAGGAAAATCGCCGAGACACGTCGATTTTTGATTTCAACAATGTACATTTTTCTATGAATAGTTTACCCTTAATTTCATCCCTTACTGGAGTGGAGCAACCCTTTCGAAAAATTTAAATGGCATGGGGTGGTGAGTGATAGCTCTATTCAACCGTGCAAAAAATTTTGAAATTTGCTTCATTAATTCTCGACTAATTATTGTTTTAGAACAACGAAAATTAACGTAGCGCACTCATCCTTAGAATTAAAATTCGGCCCTGCATGATATCGGTTTTGGTTCAGATGTAAAGTAAGACTTTTTGCCATTAGTTTAGTTGCTTTCCTATTTGTGATGTTTTGTTATTTTTAGACATTAATAAATCAACACGTAAGCAAATTTCAAATTTTTTTGCACATTTGAACAGAGAATAAAACCCCCTTTCAAATGAGCTATCACTGACCATCCCATGCCATTTAAATTTTTCGAAAGGGTTGCTCCCCTCCAGTAAGGGATGAAATTAAGGGTAAATTATTAATACAAAAATGTACATTATCGAAATCAAAAATCGACGTGGCGATTTTCCTAACAAGACTCTCCAGTAACGAGTTAGATAGGGGGGGTAAGACTTATGATGCTCACTGTATATAAGTTCAATAGTTAACAGTTTAAAACATTTTAGAATTATGAACCACTCTAATTTGAGATTTTAATTTTGGGTTTAAAATTATATTCCATAAGGTTTCCATATCAAGTGGCGTAAACCAACGTGGGGCAATTAACAATTAAGGAAAATTTGGGAAAAAAATTGAAATAGAGATTGGGATAGACGAATTCAAATTTTATATTGGTATTGAACTGCTATTTCGAGTGTAAACGTGTTGTATTGGGTCAGTAAAACATAGAATAGTAACTGTGTATAGTGTGTGTCTGGATGTCTATGTATTAAGGGGGAAAATTCAAAATTTAGCTTGGAATATTATAAATATCATCAAATAGATTTTACAGATATAATAGTGACAAAATAGTATAATAGTAAGTGAGATTTTCCTAATTTGATGACAGTATGTACGTGAATTTTAAATTGGGCATTCCAAATAAAATGGCTGTATTGGGAAAAGTTGGTATAGATAAGGGGTTGCGACATACGTTTTATTCTATTAACAACACGTGAAATCGTGAATAATGGATTAAATTTCAATATTTTATGTCGAACACAATGATGATGTTATTGAAAAAAAAAAAAAAAAAAACCGCTTATTCAGTTTTTATAAATTGGCAGGCTTGACTACTATTTAGAATAAAAACAGCGCGTCCAATATGGAAGGCTATAGATATACGAGCCCTTCTCATTAGCAGCTATTGTTTGACAGGTCATTGAAATGTCTAATAGTAATACTAGTAATTAATAGAGTAAATGGATCTAAGAGAGGGAAAGAAAATAGTGATGTACAGCATAGGCAAAATTTAGAAGGTTATAAAAGAAGACCAACAGAAAGAAGGAATAAAGATGAAGGATCTAATGCAAGTACTCATTGGAATGAACGGGGAAATGGATGAGAGTATGAGACAGAGGAAATGAATGATAATATAAGACATTCAAAGGAAAATAGGGAAACAGATTAAACAGAATGAAGAAGCAATGGGTAATAAGATGGGTAACAAGAAATTCAAGAATATAGACAGGATAATTAAAATTTAGTTAGAAAAATAGAAGAAGTTATAGATAATAACATTAAAGAAGTTGGAAATAAAAAGTTAGAAGAAAGAATTGAAATGGGCGAAGAAGAGATAAAAGAAATATAAATAGTAACAGTCAAAATATAGCAAAATATGGAAATAGGAATAAAGAAAAAGAAAAATGAAAATTAAAAGAAGAAACTGAGAAAGAATATAAAGGAAAATAGAAAACAGAAAAATAAAAGGCAAGACAAAATAAAAAAAAATATAAAGACCAGGAAGCAGAAACATAAAGGTATCATAACAAGTAAAAATAAAACTAGAATAAATTTAAAACAGATGAAAGAAATCATAGAATAGTAAATAAAAACGAAAGCTATATTAAAATAAAATTAAGACATGAAAAAGGAGCAGGAAAGGAAAAATCCAATAGTAAATAAATATAAAATGGGAATACAATTTAAATAGATGCAAAGCGAGAATGAAAGGAAAAATAGGATAGGTAGAGATGAATGTGGGAAAATAATTAAAAATCGGAGGTTGACAGTAAAGGAAATAGTGAAAACAAAGATGAAAGAAAAAGTAATAACATTTAGAACAAAAATTTAGAATGTGAAATTAGCTTGAGATATGAAAGTTGAATAGATGGTATAGATTACAGTTAGTTAAATAATATGAATAAATGAGTGAGACCAAGTGAATATGACGATAGAAAGATATGCAAAGAAATATTTTAAAAGAATGAAAGAGAAGAGAGAAAAAACAGTTATTGCTCAAAATTTAGTTCTCGAAATCGTAATGGGTTGTAGAAATATTTGCATAAACCAGAAGTGACTATAAAAAGTCAAACTCTTGAAATAAAAGTGTGACTAAATAGTCAAAATTTGTATTTATATGAATGTTAAAGTTGTACGTGCTATAGTAGTATGTAATTGTATTTTGATGTTATGTACAATTTTTGAATTGAGTGTTAGAAATCCAACAATAGAAATATAAAAGTTAAAAAGTCCAAATTAAAATTTTGCTAAATTTATATTCACTATAATGTTTCTCGACATATGTTTGAAGATCAATTTAAGAAATTTTGATATGGAAATTTCTCGAAAATGAAGAATTAGGTCATAAGTAAAAATTAGAGATATCAATGTCGGGATGGGGTATATGAATTAAAATAGTTGGGAGGGATATTTTTGTATGATTGGATTTTTTTTGATTATTGTCAACAGTCAACTTTCAGTGTTTTAGATAGTTTATAATATACCTTTCTAAAACACTGACAGTTTTTTTACCAATATCTGTACCGGGATCTATATTCTGCTACTGTGAACCCCCAAAATTTTGGTCACGAGCCGCCCCGGATTGTCAACGGGAATAAATGTCAAGAATGGTTTCGAAATTATTAGTAAGATTTGAGATTTAAAGTAAGTGCAAAATTAAAATTATACCTTCCGTAGTCGATGGTGTTAAAACGCAATTCCAACCTATCTCGCCGTCGGCATGAAATCCAAAAATCGGGATTCCCGGAAAGATTTTATTGAATATTTTCGGTTCTTCGTCCGCATCAACTTTCGCCGAACAACAGACTCGAATGACTACGCTGTGGGTTCTTAAAAATGTGCTACCTTTGAACTAAAATGATAATTTTCCGTATTTTAAAATCTGTATAACTTCGCAAATGTTTTACCTTGAAAATTTCATCGGCGAATTCTTCTTTCGACAAGTCGTCTCCGAATATCACATAGGAGAACGCATTGAAATCAGCCTCTGCGCCTTTCTCCTTCAAAAACACTATAGAAAATATGTCGTTACTGGAATTAATTGATTTGGCGGGATTTACTTGCAGAAACGTTTTGGTACCTCTAATAATTCCACCGCCGACGGCTACCGAAGAGGCGTCGTTTCTAAAAATAATTATCAATTAATGTTGGCGCTTATGGATCAATTCGTCGAAAATAATACACCATATTGGCTGAGGGGTTTATGGAACAACTAATTTCGTAGAAAGCAAACGTCATATGATTATAACTATGAAACATTCTTGTAATATCAGAATAGATAAAAGTACAGAAAAGAAACTAAGGGCTGTAGCCAAAACCTTACTTTTCCAAATGCTTTAAATTATTACTATGTAAAGAGTATTGAACAAATATCTGAGCAGTTACCTTCTATTAATAATTATCCGAATATATCTCATCTAAGTGAAATTGAAACTTTTGTAAATTTTAAACTAATTAATTATAATGAATTAAAAGATATATTATTTTCAATGTTAAATAAAAATAGTTCAGACGAAATTATCCACAATTTTATTAAAAGAATGTTTTGAAAGTTTATCCCAACCTCTATTACATATTATAAATTTTTCTATTGAAACTAGCTCAGTACCGGACGATATTAAGATTGCTACAATTCCGATACCAAAAATTTCGAATTCAAGTAAGACCGATAAATTTGATCAGTGTTGTTGGAAACCTAATAGAAAAGGTAATATATCTTCAAATTATTGATTATTTAGAGAGGAACAGTTTGATAAGTAATGTGCAATCAGGATTCCTTAGTAAACACAACTGTTAAGGAGGTCCTTTCGCCACCCCCTTCGCCACCAATGTTAAATAAAAAATATTAGATTATGACTAAAATTTATTTTTTTTCTAATAGTTGAAGTCCTTATTTATCTAATAGTGAATTTTTAACTATACCTTACCGTGCAAATTTTTGAGAATTTTTTTTTTTAATGTATTTGTGCAGTGTCTTACGAGAAAGTAAGACCTCAACAACAATTCTCGAATTATACTATTATTTATTGATTAGATGGAGTAGAAAAAAACTAAAAATAAGGTTTTTGAAATATTTAGGTTTTGTTTTTTACAATAAAAAATATAGGTTACCGTGGATTTTATTGAGAAATTAATATTAAAAAAAAAATTTCAAGTAACCTAGTTGAAAATGTTTTGTGATTTTTTAATATTAATTTCTCAATAAATTCCACGGTAACCTATTCGTTCCGTGCGCGACAGCAGCGCCAATTCGTTTTGGTACTAATGGACTATTTCTGTGTATACCGACAAATACAATTTTTAATAGAATTCGTAATTAAAAAGTATATATGTTAGTTTTAATAAAAGTATATGGATTTGTAAAACAAGTAAAACATTAATTTATTATTATTATTATATATTTTTATCGCTTAAATTAAAGAAAATTATGTATAATCAATAAAAATCAATAATAAAATATAGGCAGGCAACAGTATTTACTGGAAAATGTATAAGAAGTTGCTTAAGTCTAATAAGTTGTCATTGAAGAGTTAGTCTATTCTGTCAAAATACAAAAATACCATTTAATAATAGCGTGAAGTTAAAATGTATAAAAAAAGGATCGTTATTTATATTTTCATTATTATTCGAAAGAAAACATAGAATGAATGATTAAAACTGGTTTCCCATCAGTAAGTTATAAAATGCATTCCTGCCACATATAATAATCAAAGGCAGAAATCTTGAAATCTAGTCCTTGCTGAATGAACATTTAAGAATAAAGGGATATTAAAGAACGTAAAATAGTAATTTATTGTTTATTTAAAACCTTTCAAGTTTCTGATATCTACTATTTCCAGCATTACTGTTATTATTACAAAAATAAAGGTAATTTTTCATCTTATTGTACACCTATCCATTTATTTCTTTGATTTAATTTCCACTTTGCTACTGAAATTTTTTATATAAGTTTCACCGTTTTTTTTTTTGCTAGTATTTGTACAATTTTCAACACAGTAACTCCGGCTGCTTATTGTATTGTTTTTACCAAATTTTAAAAAAAAAAAGTAAAATGTATACGTGTATTTGATATGCCAAAATTACAAAATATCGCCCTAAAATGCACGAATTTATCAGCAGCTAGCGCTAGTATCGCTTTTGCTTCCCTTTCCATGACTTCGCACGGTGCGAATATATTTTATTGTAAAAAACAAAACCTAAATATTTCAAAAACCTTATTTTTAGTTTTTTTTCTACTCCATCTAATCAATAAATAATAGTATACTTAATTATAATTCGAAAATTGTTGTTGAAGTTTTACTTTCTCGTAAGACACTGTACAAGTACTCACATTTTTAATTTTTTTTTTCTCAAAAATTTGCACGGTAAGGTATAGTTAAGGAGGTCCTTTCGCCACCAATGTTAAATAAAAAATATTAGATTATGACTAAAATAATTTTTTTTCTAATAGTAGATGTCCTTATTTATCTAATAGTGAACTTTTAACTATACCTTACCGTGAAAATTTTGGAGAAATTTTTTTTTAAATGTGTGTGTTTGTACAGTGTCTTATGAGAAAGTAAGACTTCAACAACAATTTTCGAATTATAATTAATTTTACTATTATTTATTGATTAGATGGAGTAGAAAAAACTAAAAATAAGGTTTTTGAAATATTTAGGTTTTGTTTTTTACAATAAAATATATAGGTTACCGTGGAATTTATTGAGAAATTATTATTAAAAAATCACAAAAAATTTTCAACTAGGTTACTTGAAAATTTTTTGTGATTTTTTAATATTAATTTCTCAATAAGTTCCACGGTTTACTATATATATTTTATTGTATAAAACAAAATTTAAATATTTCAAAAACCTTATTTTTAGTTTTTTTCTACTCCGCCTAATCAATAAATAATAGTATAATTCGAGAATTGTTGTTGAGGACTTACTTTCTCGTGAGGCACTGTACAAATACTCACATTTAAAAAAATAAAAAATTTCAAAAATTTGCAAGGTAAGGTATAGTTAAAAGTTCAGTATTGGATAAATAAGGACTTCAACTATTAGAAAAAAATTAATTTTAGTCATAATCTAATATTTTTTATTTAACATTGGTGGCGAAAGGACCTCCTTAAACTGTTTTACAATAATTGATGTTGCATGAGTGGACGTTATCAATTGAAAATAATTTGGTTACACTGGCGGTGTTTTTAGTTTATTAATAGGGGTAAATTATATTAATGAAATTAAGAGCTATTGGTTTGGGTGGTTGTGCATTGGACTGGTTGGGTCATTATATGGAAAATAGGAAACAGAAGGTTAAAGTAAGTAATTGTGTTTCAGATACTATAGTGAATAGTATGGAGGTGCCACAGGGTAGTGTTCTAGGTCCGCTACTGTTTTTATTTATATTAATGACATTGCTAGTGTATTCGAAAGATGCTTAATACACTTATTTGCAGATGATACCGATATATTTTACCTATGAAAATACAGAAACTTGTTTTAAAGAAATTAATAGTTCTGTAAGTAAAAGTTATGATTATTGTAACGGAAACTCTTTGAAAATAAATTACGAAAAGACAAAGTGGATATTAATTGGGGGTATTGGAAAAAATTAAATGTAGCTTCGCAGTGTCTTTCTGTTGATGGAATAAAGTGTCAAGAGTTGAAAAATTTAAATATCTAGGGGTTATTGTTGATATAAATTTACAATTTAACAAACATGCTAATAACGTCATCAAAAGCATATCATTTAAAATAAACTATTTGAGACGCTGTTCTCCACATCTCAGCAAATGGGCTAAAGTAATAATGTATAATATTCTAATATTACCTCATTTTAATTATTGTGCCACTTATATTGTATTTGCTCAACCAGAATGAGTTGCAACGATTGTAAAAGTTGCAGAATAGAGGTATGAGGATAATACTGAGCTGTTCGAGATTGGAACCAATTAATTCCATGTTGAATGTGCTTTAGTGGTTGCTATTCTATTCCCTGCTATCTATATTTAAGATTAAATCAGGAATCTCCCCAGTATATTTACAAAATATTTTAAGTTATAATCCGGATGTTCATGAACACAATACACGAAATAAGACAAATTTTAGAGTTTATAAGGCCACGAAAAAATGTACAAAAATTCAGTGTTTTTTAAAGATTTACTGGCTTTTAATAATTTTCATGAAGATATTAAATGTTCTTCAAACGCAGCAGTATTTAAAAGAAATCTGCGCGAGTACTTGCTGACCAATTGGCGTTTTTTTCTTGTTCTTTTATTATGTTTTGTATAGTTGACAATGTAAGTGTATTGTATCTTATGTATTTTTACTTTCCTATCTGTATACAGATATAAGGAAAGTATAGGAATCATGATTTTTTTCGACCTCGAGTTTTCGACGGATTTTTACGTTTTGAGGTCCCCTGAATCCGTTTTGACTATTTTCGCGATGATGTCTCGTGTGTGTGTGTGTGTGTGTGTGTGTGTGTGTGTGTGTGTCTGTGTGTGTGTGTCTGTAGGTCGCATAACTCATGAACCGATACACAGAAAAACACCAAATTTTAAACTTAAGCTTTGTTTCAGCGTCCAATGAGCTGATCAGATTTTGGGCAGAGTCGGAACATCTGGGGGGGTACTTTATAGGTGGTCATTTTTATATTTTATGGAATATATCTGTTATTTACGTTTGGAGAAGAAAATTCTTCAAATAAAAGTTACTTCTTATATAATTATCTATAATTTTTGTTTTATCCAAAATTTTCCTAAAATGGTCCGTATTCGAGAAATTTGACAAAATGTAAAAAAAATAATTTTTTATAAAAATTGTTCAAATAAAAGTTGTTTGTAATATAATTCTCTATAATTTTTATCCTATAAATAATTTCTCTAAAATGGACCGTATTCGAGATATTTGAGAAAATGTGTAAATTTCGAATTTTGAAGAAAACTCAAAAACGGATAAAGGAAAAAACATTAAATTTTAAACTTAAGTTTTATTTCAACCTGAGGTGAACTGATTAGATTTTGGACAGAGTCGGAACATTTGGGGGGGGTACTTTATTAGTGGTCATTTTTATATTTTATGGAATATATTCGTTATTTACGTTTGGGGAAGAAAATTCTTTAAATAAAAGTTACT